TGTCTTTCTCAGACCGATTCCCTCCCTTTCCTGCTTTCCTCTCCTGCCTCTCGGACCCACCCCTTTCTTTCTCACCACCACAACTTCATATGAAAGAAAAGGGGGTTGGCTTGTGTTGGTGCAGGAGTGCCCACAGAGGTGCCATCACCAAAGAGCAGCTGGTACGGGGTAGCTTAACGTAGTGGGCTGAGAGGAGTTTAGATGGGTACAAACCCCAACACTTCTTTCAGTCCTCTCAGCTATTCACACCAAAAGCTAGGAAATCTTGAAATTCCTGAAGAGGTGACAAGCATTAATGTAAAGCTGTGTCAAAGCAAAGCAATGTTTTAATAGTTGTTTTTCTTGGCAGAACTTTGAGTGTATGACATAACTTGTTCTCACTGTCTTTGTTAGGAGTTTGTCAGTATTTTTGCTGTATAACTTGCTTTGTGATCAGTGTGTGTCTACAGTGGATTAGCAGAATTGCTGAAAGTTGGCTTGGCATTGTGGTCCAGACAGCTTCTATTCTAAAGGAAACCAAAGTTATGTCTTGAAAGCAAAAGAAAAATACAGGATTGTGAACAACATAAGCAACCTTTTTAAGGGTAGAAAACTAGAAGTGTGTAGCATTACTTTTTAACAGAATAGTTAGTGAAGCTGCTGTGGAGCTGCTTTGGCTATCAACTTTTTTTCCTCTGTTTTACTATGACTTTTGCATTGCAGTGGTCATTTTATGCGGCATGTGTAGAAATGTTTCCCAAACCTGCATGTGGGTGGATGACATAGCTGTTCCTTAAGAGAGCTTACAGGGCTGAACCGAAGACCTCTGTAGTGGACCTGTTCTGTGTGAAGCCACTCTGAACTCTGTATGACTTGGGAGAAGTTGTAGTCCTATTTTGGAGGACTGTAGTAAGAACAGTTTGGGAAGTTAGGCTTAAGAGGATTGTGTGGCAGCTTGGACAAAGGCTTCTTTGGTGTATTTATACTGTGCTATGTATGCCATGTGCTTCAGAGCCTCATTTTAAAACTGTCTCTTTGCAATGTTCTTTATTTTTTAACTATTGCTGAAGAAGTATATCTGGACTACAGAGAGTATTCTTGCCAGTACCACTGAAGCTCACATAAGCATGCGAACAAACAAACCCTCGACTACACTGACTGCTGCAGAAGAGGGGAAAAATGCAAGCAGTCCATCAATAAGGCAATCCATAGGAATTGTTAAAAAATGTTACCAAGTCTTTAATTTAAAATCTCAAAAGGGAGATTATATCCAATTGTAGTTTGCAGTTGTGTGTAACTAGTTATTTCAGAAGATGCACTTGTATACCCTTTCATATGGACTTTTTTTGTTATGATTCAGAAAATTATTTGTACAAGTTAAATGAGCTTTATTTCATTCATAGCACGTTAAAAATTCATCTGGGTTGGTGGCACAAAGCTCACTTTCTTCTTTTTAATGTACTCTGTAAGAAGTTGGTTACTTCTGTTTGCACATGGTGGGATACAGTTGATCTGTTGATGAGTGCATGCCTTGCCTGTAGCACATTTTATGGTAAATTGTTTTAGTGCCAATCACTGTGTTTAAACTGAAACACAATTTTTGTCTTGTTAGAGGGAAGATTTGCCAGATGTGTGCTTTTCTTTATCAAATTGGAAATTGAGAATGCTGATAACAGTTCAGTGAAACTGAAGTCCAGTCCCGTGGACGGGACAGCAAGATGTCCTCAAGCACCAGTGAGCTCCTGCTGCTCTACGAGCCACTGACTACTGCTCTTGCTGTCCTGGAGCTGTTACTTCCCTCAGCAGCAGAGCTTTCCAGTTGGCAGCCGCACAGCATCCGCCTTGCGTGGTAGTCACAGTGTAGCTCCGTGCTGTCTTTGGCAGCTGTGTCACAGGTCCTTGGCTTTGGCTTAGAGAACTGAACTGGAAACACATGTGAAAGCAATACTTTAGGTGTACCAGAGGTAATCAAAATAATGCTCAAGGTTTGTCCTCGCGAGTGGGGGAAAAGGTAGTACGTTTAGAGGGCAGCTTCTGCCAGTACACTAGAACTGACCTTACTCCAAAGCATTTGTGAACCTCAAGACTCAAGGTAAAGCGAAGGCAGGGAGTACTGGTCTAACTTTGTGAGCATACATGTTAAATGTATGTAGAGGCTTGAAATAGTTTCCAAAGGTTAGACATGCATTCTCTGTTGTATTGACAGTAGATACTGACGTTTTACTAGTACCATACAGCCTATGTATACATGGAATGCTGAATTTAGTGTTGGTGGTAGCTTTCCAAACTTTATCAGAAAGAGACCATTATTTGTTGATGGACTTTCTGCGTACTGCCATCAACTCAGATGCAAAAATTCTTATTGAGGCTGGGTGGATATAATGTAAGGTTCTGTAGACGCTATTGACTGTAAAAGATACATTGCTGTCTGTTAATTCTTGGACACAGCCATAGTGTTTCAATTGTTGCTTTGGTTTGGGGTTTGGTTTTGGTTTGTTGTTTTTTTTTTTTTTTTTTTTTTTGGTTAGGGAAGGAAAAAAAAAAAAAGGCAATGGTTATATTTTAACCCTTTGTTCTGTCTGGTTGTCAAAATTTTAACCTGAAACTTCTCACTTGCTACTTGAAATCCCACAGTACGGACTTTTCCTTGCAGTGGTTTTTGTCAGATACCCTGAAGAATTTGCAGTGATCCCTAACAATGTCTAATTTGTAATAATGTCAGTCTGGAAAGTGGATTTTAGATTAATATAAACATAAAAGAAGCAGTCCTTTAGCCACTTTTCCCGGAACTGTTGATTTACTGTTGATTTATTGAAGCAAATAAAGTATTTTTGGACACACTTTCTAGGGGCATAGTAGACTCATTGCTTGTCTGACAGAAATATATATCCCTGCTTCCAGGACTTTCCTTAAAATAGAAAACCTAGAGATATCCATACTATGCTTTATCAAAGACCTCTCTTTCAAGTCATCCATATATTCTCCCTCTCCAATACTTGAAGAACTTTGTGAGAAAAGGTGGTAGTATTTTGGCAGCAGGCATGAGGTAATTTTTTTGTCAACTTAACCTGGAGGATACCACTGACAAAACTAATCTTCACACTTCTAGAATCAATATGATAGAAATATAAAGAACTATTACTTGCACTTTTCTTCTTTTGCTGAAAATAGTACTTTTCCCAGTGCAGTACTTAACTAAATTATTCAAGAAAATACACATCAAAGTCTGTGAACTCTGCATTTTGCGAAATTTGAATTTAGTACAGTTCTGCAGTTGCCTAGCATAAAACTTCAGCTTTCCATTTTGTTGTGTATGTACTTTTAGTATAATTCTTATTTCTTACCCTTGAACAATTCTTGTTTGGAACACCGTTCTAACAAAACTTGTGTTGCATAAAAGCAAAAAGCAATGTTCACCTGATTTTTTTAAAAAAAAGCTATCATACCAAAATAAGGGGGTTTTTTAGTATGAAATTTCACAAAAGGAATATCAGTAATAAAATAAAAGTGGTGAGTTAGATAGTAAAACTACATAATGGTCAAAGTACATTTTGTTAAAGACTTAAGTCATTGTCCTTAGTCATAAAGTCATTGTTCAAATGAAACTTAATAGGGTATTTAACATGAGTAAGTTCAGAGGACACATCTTAAACCACTAAATACACATATGATTGGTTTTAAGTTTTGTATTAATAAAAGTTCTAATGCTAACATTAAAAGGACTAAATGAACTGAACTAATGGAGCACCCTGGCTTTCAATTGAAATTTTGCAACATGCAAAGCACTTAAGGAAACTTGCTATTTTTGGCAGGAAGTTAGATATTTCTACATATCCTGTACATAACCCTGTTAACTATATATAAAAAGTAGTCAGTGTGTGACTTTAGCCATAACTGCTAATGAACAGAATGGTTGGAGGGATTGGAAAGAAGTTAGGCCTATTAATTTATGATCAGTGGTAACAGGAAGTAGCCGATATCTCCTTTCTTTCACCTGCTAAAAGAACTGTGGTCAATTACATAGGCAGTGTTGTGCACATAGTATTTGGCAGAATATTTGGAAACTTCAGTCTTTCAGACATCTTGTAATTTACAGTTCCCAACAGGGAAGATGATCCAGTTGACAGCTGGGAGAATGGGTTCTTGATATGAAATCTACAACTTGTGTCTTAAAGTACTTCTCAGAAGTAAGTGCTTTTTTGCATATTTGTTAGTGTATTCCATGTATCTGCCATGTATTTAGAGTAATACCCACTTCCAAGTCATATGGTGCAACCTGGATATGTAAATGTGCCTTGTGAGTGTCAAATCTCCAGGCTTTTAAAGTGGTAGTACTGTTTGTACAGATTTACAAGGTGTGGTGATTTGATGTCAGGATATTACCTCTTCAATTAAACCAAGAGCTATCAATTTTTACTGAAGATGTGAATAGTCAGACTTTTATTCCATGTTAAATTGGATGATAGAGTTATAGGCAGAATTAGGAGTTTCTACTACAGCATGACTAAAGACAGTCTATTCACTATATATTGTAACATATAGAATGAAGCTGATCCAGTGTCTTACAGCTAATCTTTTTTGCTAGTTGCAAAACAAATATAACAGGGGTTTTTTTGTGTGTGTGGGGGGTGTTAAGCAGAATAGTTTTCACTAGTTACAGAAGAACTGTTTGATGATGTGAATTTAAATGTTGTGGTAGGACAGCTTACACTCAGTTTAGAACTGAGTGAAAGAACAAGGTTGATCGAATGAGTCACCTACACCACCATCCCAGCCTGACAGCCTGGCTGTGTGGGCAGCACAGGGCATAGGAGAAAGCAGGAAAGTGCCTTCCCTGTTCCCTAGTCAGTTTAGAAAGTTGAGTGCTAGGTGCAGTCTTGCTGCAGGCATCTTTCCCATAAAGGACTGAAGACTCAGCCAGCGCCACAACTTTCTCAGGATAGTATTCCTATCTTCCATTGCATTCTCCAAAGTAAAAGTAAGTAGAAAACTATTTCAAAGAAAAGGCACACTCGGCATTGTTACAGGCAGCTGTTTTTAAGCAGCCTACTCAATTTTATTATTTGCTCAGTAAATTTTTTTTTTTAAGCTAAAACATAAGCTTTGAATTAAGCCTGGAAGCCCAGCAATACGCCGAGTATGGTACAGATGCATTGATAGTTTACCTTTGGTTGTTGCCTCAATTTCCTAGAAGGCAAATCTACTACATTGTTCCATAATAAAACTAGAGTAGTTACAGGTACAGTTGCAAGCTATGGCTGTAGCTATGGTACTTGTTTCTTGAGCTGGAGTACTGGCAGGTTCTGGCAAATAGTGCACCTTCTAACTTGCTCCAGAGTTAGCTTCAGCTGTTAGGCACTGATAGGTTTTGCAGGCACATACAACTTGTATGAAGACAGCGGCTAGCCTCTTATTCCTTAGTAGATACTTCTATAGTTGTCAGATGTATTTCTGAAGAAGAAAGAAACAAAGTTTAAGTCTGTATAATTAATAACTACCGTACAATTAATTGTATATGCACTGATAGACTGTAATTGAAACAAATGCAGAAAACCTTGTCCTATAGCAGTCACATAATACTGAGGTTTAACAAAGATAGTCCAGTTTCTCCCTTGCCTGCTATGCCACTTTACCAGTTGCTGAATTTGTACTTCCCTGACCATGGTAGTCTCTGGTCTCGTATCTTTGATCCTGCCTCTGGTCTGCTCAGTAACTACTGCTTGCATCTTCCAGGACACATTGCTGCTTTCTAACCTTTGCCCTTTTTTCCTTTACACAGAAAAGGAGTCAGGCCAGATGCTGCTCCTTCGAAGGGGGGCAATTACGTTAGCAGAGATAAAATGTTGAATTTTATGGACCTGCAGTTCTGATGCTCAAGCCCTTCAGCACCTAACAGAATTGTACACTTGTCTGGATAATATATTGGAGATGAGAAAACCCACAGAAAAAGAAAGTGCCCTGCTGGTTTATGCAAGATAGTATCAACCAGCTATGAACAACTATGGGCTTAACAGATTGGAGGGCAAGTTTGAAACATTTATGTATCCACTTAGCTATCTAGTTCTTAATGCCAAAGGCACGACACAGCAAAACAAAAAGCAGCTTACACTGTAGTGGTGGTCTTGCAGGAGTGTAAAGGGAATGACTACATTCAAGTTCAGCAAAGCCTATAGCACAACATTTATTTTAAATAGAGATGAATTAATTTAATTCCAAAGACATCTCACATGGTCTTGTCACGCCCCTGGTCTTCACTTCAACTCCCTCTGAACTCTTAGCTTTCAAAAATGAGGGTGGGGTTTTTTTGTGTTGGAGTTGTTTTGGGGTTGAGAGCTATTTGTAAGTAGTGAATTTTCCTTCTCTCAAAGATGCACAGCCAGAAAAAGAAGGAAGATTCAGCAGAGAAGGATGCACTGCCAAAATGAGGAAGATTACAGACTAGTTACAGCACTCTTCCATTCAAGATACCAGAAAGACATGTAAGTTAATAACAGGCACCTGAAAGAATTTAGTTATTGAAACAGAATTAATTATTTGACCTAACACCACCCGTGAGCTTTGAAAAAAAAATTTTTTCATTTATTTTTCAGGAGCATACAGCCAGTCTGTACTGGGACATGAAACATGTCCGTCCTTAATAGTTCCATGGCACCATCTGTTCAGGGGTAGTTTGCTTGCAGGTAGGTGTCCTCTTCAAACTTCCTCAGAGCTGAGCAGCAAAGACTGTAATGTTAAAAGAAATTGAAAAGAACTAATAACTCCAACCTGGACCACCACCTAACAGCGAAGAGCTGCACAGTGAATTAACTCAAATTCCCTTAAGATATAAGGCATTTCAGAAAGCTTCTCTCTTCCATTTTCTAGGTAGGAGTTGTATTAAATCCGTGATGACAGTGCTGTCTTACCATAGCCACGCAGTACCAGCTGTGTTCCTGTTGGCAGAACATCATGTTAGACCCTGGAGGCCCATAGGTTCAAGTTGCTGCTCTACTTCCAGGGCTGAGGGACAAGTTTGGAAAAAAGGCAGTTTGATTTAAGGCCTGTTTCAGTCCCTCTGAGGGTTGCCTTGCATTTCTAAGGTCTTGCCTTCTAATAAGGCCAATAATTCTTATGTTTCTCAACCACTACAACCTCCTGAAGCAGCACACTACCTCAGACAGTGCTTTTTCAAGTGAAACCAGTAATTAAAGTTTACTAGTCACATTATTTCTCAAAGTATATTCTGATTTGCTAGTTATTACTTAAAATTTCAGCTAATAACCAACACAAGTAGGGAGAGTAGGCATTAGATGAGAGGTACCTCTCAATTAGCAGATTCTTCCAGGTCAGCAGTTTCCCTTCGTATCAGCTACAGTTGATCTCCCTGTATTTTGTTGCCATCTTTAAATTGTAGTTGAAAAGGACTTCTGGAGGTCAGCTAGACCAACCTCCTGCCTTAATGGGGCATCTTTAAAGCCTTCACAAGTGGCAATTCTGCCACCTCTGGCCATTCTGATCCCTTGTCATCACATTATGCTCCTGGTGAAGCAGGTTTTCCTGATGTTGACACTTGTTCTACCATTCACCCGATTCTGTCGAGAAGTTTGGCTCTGCTGTACCTTCAAGCAGGTATAGGCCGTTAATTAGGTTACTCCTTAGTCTCTTCATTGCCAGACTGAATGAGCCCAGCTTTCTGTTTATTTCTCATCTCAGTCTGTTCAATAGCTTTCAACTGCTTCTACCTGCATAAGGAGCTGTTCTCTTAGCCTAGTCCCTGCCTTTTCTTCCTGTTTTCTTTAATACATCATAAACAAACTGATTTTAATCTTCTGTATTATTCCTGAAAGCAGCTTTCCATTCTTGCCTTTCATGTAGGACAACTGTAAAAGACAGTGAAATGTTACCAAAATGCTTTGTTACTGAAAATTTTAGAACCTCAAGTATTTCTTCATGTTCTTAAAATAATTGAGGGTTTTGCCTAGTTTTATGGAGGATTACTAAATAGTGTTAGTCATTTAAAGCTAGCAAACAAAGCAGGTGCATGTCAGTGGAATAAAGTGACATCATGATTCATGCTGGATTTTTTTCATGTTGAATTCGGGCAACAATCCATATTTAGCCAATGTGCTTTAAAATTACACGGGATTCCTACTTCAGGTGTACTGAAAGGACGATTTGTTTTCTGGCAATTGAGTTTGATATTTCTGTAGATGTTCAAAGTAAAAGGGCTATAAGCCCCATGGAAGCAGGCTGTAGACTTCAAATGCAGACATACATAATCTGCAGAAGAGGGCGTTTCTTGAAGCTGAATAGGAAAGGAGGCTGCCATCCACCTTGCTTCTTGCTGCAGAGGTAGACTAAAAACCCCTTTAACTCACCAACTGCCGAGTAGTGAGCATTTGCAAATATGCACTTAGGGATGCATTTGGAGCATTATCAAGCTCTGAAGATTTCAGCACCACTTCTGCTGTAGTACATGCTTCTTCTCAAGGCTCTACCTTCTGCGATCAAAATGCTTTTATTAAAGTTTCCATTCTTTCTGCTTGCTGAAAAAAGCTTGAAGTAGTAAAAGGAGCACTGGCTCAGAGAAAAGGGAAATAAATTTTTCATTAGTGAACTAAGAAAAAAAATGTATTTAGAGACAATTTTCACAAGTTAATTGCCATGTCTCTTTTTTAAAAATATACCATTTCCAAAATCAATTACTCCAAGATTATTGGAGAGCGCTCTGTCTTTTAGTTGATGATGCAGCAACATTAGCTTTTTAGTTTAGGTCAGAAGCTTCCTACTTACTGTACTTTGGTTCACATTACAGAGCAATTACAAACTGGACCCCTTGGGATGAAACTTAAACGGGAAGATGTGCTCCAACCAGCGATGGGCACTCAGCTCTGACACCAGGCTACAGCTATTCTGGACGAAATCTCTGAAGCACACACATCACGGGTGTCAAGTTCTCAGCAGCAACTTCCTCACTCCACAAACAAGCCCCTTATGGGCCACACTAACTGACACAGGCACAGAGAGTCAGTGAGCTCCACCCAGCCCTGTCCTGCTGTCCACACAGTGCAGCAGCCCAGACCACAGCAGGACTGACCAACCAAGACAATACCCCATCTGTGCTGGCTCTGAGGAGAGTTCTTGGCCCTGCCCCTAAGCAGGGCTTTGAGGGGCACACAACCTGTAGCTCCTGCACAATGCCAAGTGTTTGCTCAGTCCCTGAGCACGCTGGGGGCCCATGTATATTTGGCAGGAGCAGCATGGATGGTGTTCCATCAACTGTCCTTCCCCACCCCCCCAAATATGTATTTTTTTTTTCTTTTTTAAATACTGCTTATGTATACACTCTATCACTCTTGCAGTTGTCCTAATTAGAAAGCCTACATCTTGTTAACTCCTGGGATGATTGAAGAAGAAAATAAAAATTACATCCAGTAATGGCACTGATTCAGTTACTCACTGTCTTTATCACTGAAATGCTCGATCCTTATGAAAAGCGGCTTCTTGCTGAGCATCATAGTCCAAATCTGCTTGCCTTTCCCGTTGTTTTTTTGCCTGCTTTTCAGCCTGATGAAGAAAAGGGATGTTAGTTGATATTTAGTGTTAATACATGTCAAATATCGTCCCTCCTCACTTCTCTCCCCTGCCACACCCCCCACAAAAAGGGTACATTGAATAGCTGAGTGAACATCAGCATTAGCTACTGCTCTTTGGTGACCTGCCCAGAAGATACAAGAGCGCAGTAGTGACACGGTTGAAAAAAATGGCATAATGACACAGGACAGGATGTGATCTGTAATTGCTGTTCTCTTATTACCAGTCCTCCCAGTAATCTTCCCCAAACAGCACAGGCCAACACAGCCTGGACTAGGCTTCTGTTCCACTGCTCAGAGAGGAAGCTGGTCCCCAACATCAATACTCGCAGTGCACACAGGTAAAAAACAAACAAAACACATACATCACACCCATAGCAACCTTCCTCTCTCCCCCATCCAAGGGACCTAGTACTATGGGTTTGGATGCATGCTTCTTTCTGAAGGGGATGACTGAGTACATCTCTTCTATTTACCATTTGCTGGATCTGAATTTTCTGTACTTCCATGTTTGCATCACGTTGACTTTGTTTCTTGGCTTTTTCCTTTTCTAAGAAGATCCTATCTTCTGTCATCCACTGATTACGATCCTTCTCATCCTCTGCTTTTTCCTCTCTCTCCTTGTCCACTTTCATCTTCATCTGTATTTTACAAAGTACACACACACAGAAAAAAAAAAAGTGTTAACCAAGGAGCTAGCCTGCTAAGATAGAAGTTGTATCTCTCAGCAGAAGCAGCCCTGTGTCAGTGCTCTGAGCTGCCCGGTCACTGTGGCTGGCCGGTGTCCAAGCCCAGGGTTTTCAGCAGCCCTGGCAGATGCACACCCAACACGGAAATGGGAGAGGGGAAGAGGACCCCAGGCAAGGTGTCAGCAGACCTGATGAAGCGTGCCTGAATGCATGGCACCAGAGCCACCAGCTGTGATCTGGGCCAAGCTCCTCACCTGGAGTAAGCAGTGGAGACTCTGGAAAATGTTTGCACAAATTACTAACAATTATAGAGCCTTTGAACACTAATTGTTTGAGAGGGGATCACCACAGGTACTGCTTTCAACTTTAAGAAGTTAATTCTGAAACTATACATGGTAAATATGAGAGGCAGCTGCTAAGGGAGAACTTGTATGTGCGTCTCAAGATGACTGTGATAGAATCTGAAAGGTATTCAGAAGTACAAGTATAGATGACTGAAAGAAGAGTAAGAACAGGCTAGGTTTCTTACCGCAGTGGCTCTGTGTTCAGCAATAGATTCAATGGCAGCCTTTTTTTTTGCTTCTTTTGCTTTGTTTTTCATTTGGTATTCCTCTTCTACCTCTGCAGCTCCTCTAGCAAGACGATCATCTTCAGTCTTCCATGCCTCGTTCATCTGTGCAGTTAGTTGTTCAAAAGCCTTGTCCTTATGCTTCTGCATTAGCCTGCCATAACATACCAGGATATCCACTCAGATTACCTGAGGCACTGCTCCCAAGAAAGCCAGCAATCCCACTTTCACCCACAACAGCACCAATTACTACTGGAACTGGTAGGTGTTTCTTCTGGACTTTCTACTTCTTTTTCAGGTGTTAATTACAAAGTGCTTGCATTACAACATGCTGATTTTGCTGATATAAAAATTTAGAATAACATTTGTCACAAAATTAAATTGTAAATTCGAATCTTAATGCTGAAAACTGTAGCCCTAGACCCACCTATTAGTCTCTGCATATTTTTCTCTTGACAGATCAGCCATCGTTTCTTTTCCTTTAATATAAGCCTTAATCCGATCATCATCATCGTCTTCTTTCTGTTTTTCTTCAGCTTTAATTATTTTCTGTTCAGCTACATGCTCCTGTTTAAATGGAAAAGTACTTTTATTTTTATGTAGAATGAGATTTTTAGAAACATTAACTGAAAAAAAAAATTAAAAAATCTAGCAAACACTTCAGACCTAGCCTGTAGTAAGAGATTTTTGGGTTTATCAGTGGAGGAGCTACAGAAGATAGAAACCCAGAGATAGAAGAGAGTTTTCATGACCTACTTACCACAGACTACCACAAAAGTAAAATTAGTACGTGGTTACAGTCCCAAGCACAGTATCTTTAAGTTATATTTTTTCCTCTACTTCCCTACTTGCTCCAACTGTACCACTCCCATCCTGTGTATCATTCACGCAGCACAGACTCTGAAGGGTTTAAACAGTAAGAGTCTGTAGAACTGTAAAAATGGAAGGCACCAAACATTTTATAATCACGCAGAAATGGCAGTTACGAGTGTGTGTATGTATACACACACACACATGCATATATATTTTATTGCATATACAAGGTTGGGGCAAATGGGGTAAGGTTTGTATAACTGAGGTGAGGAGTATGGAGAAGAAAACAGCAAGTAGGGTTTCAGTGGGAATTCTCTCCTCTTAGTCTCTCACATGTCAATGAATCATCACCAGTACCTCCACTTCAGTCTCCCCGCTCAGGCAGGCATGGGGAGGGAAATAGTAGGTGTGGTAAGTAGGTCTTGACTAATTTTCCAAATATCTCCAATCATAAAGGGAAAGCCACATTAAAAAGATACTGTCATGTTCATATTCAGGCTATTCCCTCCTCCTGACAAAGGAAAATGGTCTTAGAACAGATACATGGAACTTAAATCCAGTTCTCAAGTCAAGGACTATCTCCTTGCTGTCTATAGCAGACTTTTTTCATCATAGAATAGTCAAAGCTCAGGTGCCACACTACAACTTACAAGGGGCCTTTCTCAAAAGCACTGAGGAAAGACACAGCCTGGAACTGGCAAAGTAAGCACATGAGCCAATGCTACTGAAGCTGTCAGCAAACCTCCTGTTGCAACAATTTCATGCCAGGTAGCCAAGGTGAAAGAAGCATTTTAAACTCTTCGCTTTCCTGTTACTTACATGATGCAGTCTCTGGCGTTCAATTTTTTCCTCCTGTTCCTTTTCTTTTCCTCTCTGAATTTCCAATTGGTACAATCTGTTCAATCTCTGTATTTTTTCCCCTTCTCTTTTGTCTTCTAGCTTGGCCAGATCTGCCTGATGCTTATGCTCCTTTATTCTGAATTGGAAAAAAGGAGTTGAATAAATGGACTAGGGATTGTGTGAAGTAAAGAACAGATACAGATTCTGCACAGCTACAGGTACTTTAACAGTAAAAAACCTGATACTTTGATGTGCAAGTAGAATGTCGAGAGATCAAAAACAGAATCATGTTTTTTAAAAGGTAGTTGCAAATCCTTTGGCTAAAGCTCAGTCCTAGTACAAAGGTGCTGGTTAAGCCTATACTAGCAAAAGCAAATATGACCAGCATACGGACTCTAATATTGGATTGAATTTGATTAGCCCGCTCCCTGTAAAAGCTGGGCCTTTGCCAGCTGCCTTCCAAGCAGTGCCATGGCACTGTGCAAGGCAGGGCCATGGTCATCAGCCCATAGCTGGATGTGTGAATGTTTCTGGGCTGGGGGAAGTGGCAATAATAAAGAGCTTTGCCTTAGGGAGACAAGTCACTTGCTCCCGGTGCCAGAATACAGACTGTTTTGTTTAATTTATTAGGACAGACGTAGCGGCATTTCTGTTACGGAGGAACCAGGGGGTGAGGGGAGGTGACAGGTTTTCAGCCTGACTGGGGAGCGAGGATGATCAGAAACAATGGTTTAGAAGGAGCGAGTCGGGCACGCCCGGGCCGGCGGCCGCGGCTCGCTGCCCCCCCACAGCAAACAACCCCCCTCGCGTCCGGCGTGCCCACGGAGCTGGCCAGGGGAAGGTCTGTAACCCAAATTCCCGCTCCTGGAGGCCCCGCCGCCGCCGGGAGGGCCCCCCCGGACTCACTGCGCCAGCTGCTCCTGGGCCACGGCCCGGCGGTCCAGGTAACGGCCGCGCTCCCGCTCTGCCTCCCGGCGGGCGGCCTCCGGCCCCTCGCGGTCCATCGCTGGTCCCGCGCCCGCCGCTCCGGGAGGCGGCGAATTCTGCCGAGAGAGAGAGAGACCGATCCTCGGCGCCGGCCCAGCTGTCCCGGGAAGCCGGGGTTCTTTCTTCCGCCCCTCAGAGAGGGAACAAAGGCGGCCTCCCCCCGCCGCTTAGCGCGGCCGTGGCGGGGAGCGCCCCGGCCCCGATGAGGAGAACGATGTTACCGTACCAGCGCGAACAGCGGCAGCGGCCCACAGCAAGGCAGCCCGCCCGGTGCCGCGTCCGTTACAGCGGCTGGGCACAGCGCCCCGCCCCGCCCCGCCCCGCCGCGGGGAGCTGCCGGCGGCACCGCCCGCTCTGGCAGGCGGCGGGGCCCGGCCCGGCCCGGCCGCCTCCGCAACCAGTTCGTCAAATCCCCGTTTCCCTGCAGCCGGCCCGTCCCCGCTAAGAGGCTGTAACGCCCCATTCTGCCTCCGTCTTTCTGCTCCGACCTCGGCGGTTTTTCTCCCCGCTGGTTTGTCTCCGCTTTGCGCGGCCTGCGGTGTGGCTTTTTGGCGCGGCCTGGCGCCGCGGGCTGCCGCGTTTCACGTAACCTTCCTCCCGCTCGGCCTGCCCGGAGCTGGGGATGTTGGAAACTCGCTTTTCTCCATTAGCTGACCATAAAAGGTGGCCCCTGGGCGGCGTTTTCCCGGAGGAAGGCCCTTGGCCGCCCTGGGAGCTGGTTGAGGGAGGAGGTCGGTCCTCCCCCTCCTTCCCAAAGTTCCTGCCTTGCCCTACTTGGAGGAGACTCCTCGAGGAGGCGACTGCAGCACTTGGGAAGGAGTACATCCATCCTACACCCAGCTGTTCTACACTGTAGGGGAGGTAAAACCAGCTCTGTTTGGCCCTCAGCTTGCAGGTGGTACTTTGCCTCCAGGGTAGCCTCACGTCTTGCTCAAAGTCCTGTGCTTTCTTCAAAGCCTGTTGCTATCTGACACCAGGCTTAGAAACTCGAAGGCACACAAAAAAACCATTTTCCAGACTAACATATTGGCAAGCATTCCTTATATAAAACCCCTAGAACTTGCATAGTTTTATAGTTTGACCAGCAGAGATAGGCAGTTGCGGGGGCTAGAACAGAAGGTTGTGTATAACAAAGCAAAGCTTCAAGTTGCTTGGACTTTGTTTCCAGTGGATCCCAAAATAGGGGGATACCCCGTTTAGACCTCACATTACTGGTGGACACAGTCATTATAGGAAACCCTAACTCTGTCCAAGGCAGTAACATGGTGGTAACATTTCAGCAAAGAAACTAAGCTTAAGGAGTGAGACTTGGGTATTGGAGAGTATGTCAGCTGAGGAATCCAAGAAACAATTTTAGATACGGATCTGTTTCCCACAGATTTAATCATTGTTAGTCTTTTTGAAAGAACAGTCCAACTATGTTGTCTCTTGTTGCCATGTTCTTTTTGTAGTAGCTATTTACAGTCACATTAGGATCTATTTCCCTCCTAGGTCACCTTTCAAGGGCTGTGATCAAACCATGTTCATATTTTCATAAAACTAATTTATAGCATGATATTTGTTTTACAGAGGTACTTTGAAAATGCTGTAAAAACTGCAGTACCATAACTGTTCTAACTTGCACATGTATTAGGTTGTTTTTAATTCCCATGAAGATTCTGTAAAGTTGTTTTTTTCTATTACAGGGAATACTTTTGTGCTGAGAAGTTGTATCCCAGGCCTGATAAACCTGGGACAGTGAATTTTTAGAATGGTGAATAATAAAAATGTAACATTAATAGTGAGCTTTTGGCTGGAATGGGTTACATTGGTGGTCAATTACATATAATGCATTTCTGTCTCAAGTTTGATAAGCTAGCTTTTATGAAATACAAGCTGGAGATTTTTGAGAATATAACCAGTTTTCTGGCAATCTTTTTCAAATGGACTTCCAGATTCATAGTATATATTTGATGTAGATCATTACAGTTTAACTCTGCCCATAAGGTTCAAAAAGATGTTTTTTAACCACATGAAAACTGCTTCTGCCTTTCCTTGATGGATAATCTCAATGTTATTTCATGTTTTATCTTGAGCAGTAGTACAGCTGCTACAAGGTAGCTGGGTCCCAGCACCATCCTGTGCTTGAAAACTATTTATTCCTTCTTTTCCTGTGGAAAATGGCCTGCAGTGTCCAAGTCCTCTTCCACCTTTGGATGCTTTGAGAAGTGGATAAAGATGATGTGTAGTCTTAGATTCTGATTCAATTACTCGCTTTGCATAGCTCTGAAATTCTTGCTCCTTACAAAGTGCAATAAACTTGGTCTGAGCATCATAGTCCAAGTCCGCTTGCTTTTCCTGCTGGTTTCTTGCCCGCTTTTCAGCCTGATAAAAAAAAAAAAAGGGAGTAATAAAGATTAGTATTTCTTTCACAACGTAACTATCCCTTAAAACTTACAGAGGGTAAAACCTTACAGATCTGCAGTGATGTGAGTTGATACTTGGCAAACATCATCCCTCCCCACTTTTCTCTTTTCTGCTGAAACCAACACAGAAAGGGTACATTGAATAGCTGAGTGAACATCAGCATTAGCTGTTGCTCTTTGGTGACCTGCCCAGAAGATACAAGAGAGCAGCAGTAGTAAATAATGGTACAGGACAGGATGTGATCTGTCATTGCAAACCAGCCTTGACTTGCACCACTGCTCAGAGAGGAGACCAGTCTCCAACACCAGCGTATGCAGATCATATGTGATTTAAAAAAAAACAAAACCAACCAACGAAAAACTCCAAACAAAACACAGCAAACTTCCTCTCTTCCTCTCTGGCAGGAGCTAGTGCTGTTGGTTTAGATGCATGCTTCTTTCTGAAGGGGCTGACAGGGTACAGCTCTTCTATTTACCATTTGCTGGATTTGAATTTTCTGTACTTCCATGTTTGCATCACGTTGTCTTTGTTTCTTGGCTTTTTCCTTTTCCATGTAGATGTGGATTTTTTCCATTAACTCATTAAGTTCTTTTTTACCCTCTGCTTTTTCCTCTCTCTCCTTGTCCACTTTCATCTTCATCTGTATTTTACAAAGTACACACACACAGAAAAAAAAAGTGTTAACCAAGGAGCTAGCCTGCTAAGATGGAAGTTGTATCTCTCAGCAGAAGCAGCCCTGTGTCAGTGCTCTGAGCTGCCCGGTCACTGTGGCTGGCCGGTGTCCAAGCCCAGGGTTTTCAGCAGCCCTGGCAGATGCACACCCAACACGGAAATGGGAGAGGGGAAGAGGACCCCAGGCAAGGTGTCAGCAGACCTGATGAAGCGTGCCTGAATGCATGGAACCAGAGCCACCAGCTGTGATCTGGGCCAAGCTCCTCACCTGGAGTAAGCAGGAATAAGAACAGGACAGGCTTCTTACCACAGTGGCTCTGTGTTCAGCAATGGATTCAATGGCAGCCTTTTGTTTTGCTTCTTTCTCTTTGCGTTTTTTTTCTTGTTCAGCTTCTTTTTTTGCAATATCTCTAGCAAGACGATCATCTTCTCTCTTTAATGACTCATTCATTTGTACAACTAATTGGCTAACAATTTTGTCCTGATGTTCCTGCTTTAGTCTGCAGAAAAACACGAGCTACCATAAGGTACCAGGGTACACACCTGGGCCTACCTGAAGCATTACTGCTACCAAACTCAGCAATCCTGTTTCTGGTCTTATCTCCTCTTGCCACACAGGCCAGCCCACCCACCCGACTCCTTGATCTCCTTGTGTTCCTCCTGATTTTTTTTTTTTTTTTAATTATCTGCTTTATCAAATACATGTTCCCTGTATTCTCCTAACACTAGCTTTCTGTTGCAATAATGAGCTGGATCACTCAGTGAGGAGTCTGCCTAGCGTCTTGCCATCAGCAGAGAAACGCTGGGAGTGTTGGCCAGAAGCAGGGAGAAAAGGAAACTCTCAGATTGGCTCAATTGTATTGTCTTGCTGTACCCTCAGTGTTAAATTGATAAACTGTCATCCCTTCATAATAACCCAATATAATTAATCGATATATTTGCTGAGTTAAGAAGTCAAATTATTTTTCTTGATCTGACTCAGAAAAATATAGCTTGTGTCTGAAAATGCTTTCATCAAGGATTTTAATTGTCTTTAATTGTTAAGAAGGTGGAGGCTTGGCAGGCCACATTCCCAACACACTGGTGTAGAGCTCTGGACTTCTGTCTTTGTATTTTGCAGGGCAGAAAGATCGTTCCCACACACCTATTACTGCAGAACCTGTGAAAGAATTTCCTTTTTCTGCTGAATTCCCTACTCTCCCTATCAGTAGAATTTAATTTTTAGAATAACTGGTTTGTGTTACATCAGTGAAAGACTTGAAAATAACTACAGTATAATTTTTAGTGTATTTTCTATTTATACTCTAGCTTCGTACCTACCTACGCATTTCAGCTTCTTGCTTTTTTATCAGCTTGGCAATAGTTTCTTTTACTTTAAAATGAGCCTTAATCCGATCATCTTCTTCCATTCGTTTTTGTTCCTCTATTGCTTTGATTATTTTCTGGTCAGCTATGTGCTCCTGCATGGGCAAAATGGTCCTGATATAACAGATGAAGTTTAGAAAATCTGGGCCTGGGGATAGCAACTTAAAAGAATCACTCCCTATTCTCTCTCTTTGTGTTTTTTTCAAAGAGAGTAAAGGGATTCTCAGTACTTCCACTTACTTCTGCCACCCTGTTCAAACATGCACGAGGAGGAGATAGTAGATATGAGGAAGGAGAAGGGGAATTGAGCATCGAACAGCTGCTTCTGTGGCCCATTACACAAACAAATTTCTATGTAATTCAGTGAGCACTATCCCTTGCTCCCATTCACACACTTGGGAGAGGAGGGACTGTGCAACCCTCACCAACACATACACAGACCGTGCTGCTCCTAGCCCACAGCATCCAAAACTATCCCGGTCGAAAAGCTTAATCTAAATCATAGCTGAAGAGGACTTTCCTATGCTTTAATGTAAAAAAACAACTGTCTTTTGCATACTGGCTAGAACTGTTCTGAGGTGTTTCTAGGTTGCATTTAGCAAGCTGCCTTTAAAGAAGAAGAGAGAAGGCAGCAGGTCTTGACTAAATTTCTAAACTTCTCCAATCATAAAGGGAAAGTCAAGTTAAAAAGATACTGTAATGTTCAGTCTCAGGCTATTCCCTTTTCCTAACAGTGAAAAATAGGCTTAAAACAGCAGGTATGTGGAACTTAAATCTAATACTCAAGTCAAGGAGAATATTCCTTGACGTCTACAGCAGACTTTTTAATTATAGACCAGTCAAAGCATCAGGTGCCAATATCCCTTCAGACAAGAGAAGGGACCTGCCTCCAAGAGCCCGTTCTCAAAAGCACAGAGGAAAGATATGGCCTGCAACAGGCAAGGTAGGACGGTGGTCCAGTGCTACTGAAGCTGTCGGCAAACCTCCTGTTGCCAGTAGGCCCATTTAGATACATGAATGCTATTGTTTTACTCCAGGCAGCCAAGGTGAAACAAGCATTTTGAACTGCCTGCTTTCCTGTTACTTACATGATACAGCCTTTGGCGTTCAACTTTTTCCTCCTGTTCCTTCTCCATTTTACTCTGAATTTCCAGTTGGTACAGTCTCGTCAATCTCTGTATTTCTTCCCCTTCTCTTTTGTTTTCTAGCTTGGCCAGATCTGCCTGATGCTTGTGTTCCTTTATTCTGAATTGGAAAAAAGGAGTTGAATAAATGGGCTAGGGATTGCGTGAAGTAACACACAGATATCAATTCTGCATAACCATAGGTATCTTGCACTGAAGAATAGGATACTTTGAATTGAGGTGGGTAGAATATCAGATGTGAAAAATAGTGTCATTGTTGGTAATGGTAGCCCTCAATCCTCTGACGAAAAATGAGCTACCCGGTATGCTCACAATCTGCAGTCTAGTAGTAACAAGTTTTACCTGGATGTCTCATTAGCACCATTGTTTTGGCCTATCTCTGCAGCATCCTCAGTGAACAAGATTTCCCCAATAAATCCCACAGTATCTATGCTTGTCCTTTTGGCCGTGCAGGCAACATTTTAAGCCAGTAGTGTTCTATATGAAGTTCTGCAAGGATTTATGTGTTGGACCTGCAGTATGTGAGACCAGACTTTGAACCCTTCCTCTGCCTCAGGGAATTTTATTCCTTCTATCAGACCACCAGGGCCAGTCCTATAAATACCACTGGGGACCCCTCCATAGGTTTCTGGAAGAGCTGAGAGAAGGAACAGAGGTGGCAGTGATGTGTTCTGTTGGTGTGTTCTCTGGAATCTAGTTATAGGCAAATGGAAAGTCTGGTTTAACCTTTTCCTTTTCTGGAACCAAAACTGAGATAAAATACACTTTCAGTAACAACTTTTGAATAGTGATTCAACTAAAATCTATTGATGCCTGTCAGAGGCAATTTTGCATGCAGACTGTTGGCAACTAAAAGACACTGCATATCAGAGTTTTTCCCTTCAGTGCAAGGTCTCTTGTGGCACTCTCGATTTTTCTTTTAAAGTGTCTCATTTGTGAATCAAATTATTAATAAGTTTCTATAAAAATCTTATGGAATGTATTTGTGAGAAGAGAGGTTAAGTAAATAATAAAGTAGGGTTAGTTTTGATTAATTATTACTTACTGTTCTAGCTGATCTCTGCGTAGTGCCTGTTGATTGATATAACGCTCACGTGCCTTTGCTTCCTCTCTGAGAATAGCTTCTTTATGTTCACGTTCCTTTTCTTCATCCTTCTTTTTGTTAACATCTGGCTTTAACTTTTTAAATTCAACTTGAGCATCTCTTTCTTTCAGGACCTCAACAAGTAGAAGTGCACTCTGCAAGAGAACATTTAAAGTAATTTGTATGTTCAGAAGTGTTTAAAGACATTCAGTACAATTTGAATTTCAAAATTATAAGTTGTCAACAAACATGAAACCCTTTCACTCTATCGTTTTGATAATATAGGTAGGTTTTTGCATTATCAATAGCTTCCTTCCGTTTCGCTGCTTGGAACTGTTCTTCTTCCAAATCACATAACTTTCTTTCTTCCTCTTCCCTTTCTTCACTTAATTTTCTGGCTTTAAGTTTCCGTTGTGCCAGGCCCTACAGTGCAGATAAAATTAGAAATCATATTTAAAGCACATGGACTAAAAATGCATAAACCATTCTGAAGGTGATATACTCAATGTTTGCTTTTTTTAAATTTTGCATATTATCTTTAATTTAAAAAGATTAAATGTTGATGTTAGATGTGTTTAAATGGAGTTTAATTAAAGTTGTCCTGGTTTGGGCTGGAATAGAGTTAATGTTTCTTCTTAGTAGCTAGAATAGTGCTGTGCTTTGGGTTCAGTATGGGATTTGGTATGAGAAGAATGCTGATAGCACACTGATGTTTTCAGTTGTTGCTCAGATTTCACGGACTTTCCAACTCCCCATGTCCTGCCCATGCGCAGGTGCATGAGAAGCCAGGAGGGAGCAAAGCTGGAGCACCAGGCCCAAACTGGACAATGAAATATTCCATATCATGTAATGCCATGCTCAGTGTATAGAGGAGGGGCAGCCGGGAAGGAAGGGGCTTTCTCTCTCTTCTGGGATTGTGATTGTGGGATCTTGGTATTTCAGGATTGCTGGCCAGGAACAAGCTGGGTATCAGTCATTGGGTGGTGAGTGATTGCACTGTGCATTGCCAGTTTATACTTTCCATTATTGTTATATTTTTATTTTATTACATTATTAAACTTTTTATCTCAATCTACGAGTCTCCCTTTACCCCTCTAATTCCCTCCCCCATTCCCAGGCGAGGAAGGGTGGGCGAGCAGCTGCTTGGTGTTTGGCTGCCAGCCGGGTTCAAGCCACAACAAAATACTTACTTAAAAGCAAATATTAAACAAAGGGAGTACAGCTGGAAACGTTACTATGAGGGTTTTTGCATAAATTAAAATTAAGCCCCTTGCTTACAAATGTATCTTGTACTTACCATAATGGTATTGGGCCAGTCTTTTACAGCAGCTTTGGAGCGTAAGTGCATTTCCTCCCGTTCTTTCTTCTCAGCCAGGATGCGTGCTGCTTCCCTAGTTTTGCTGCCAAGATTATCCTGAATCCTTTTCCATTCTGCTTTTGGCAATACAATCACCTGGTGAACATCTACTTCATTTGGAAGAAAATACCTTTCTAGAAAGTTATTTTCTTCCAAATGACGTTGTGCTGTGAAGAGGGATAAAAAGATACTGGGGTTACTTGATATCAGAAAAATCCTATATTCAGACCTATATCAGGATTTGAATTCTTGCATGGAATTCTTTCCCCATACTCCAGAGCTAAGACAAAGTGTCTGTATCTGTAGTCTAGCTATGGCCAGTGCACGTACTTGGGCTGTGGCACAGACTGGCTTAACTGTCAGTGTGTCCCTTTGCCTGTTGGGGTGTGTGTGCAGGTTTGGCGTGTGGTGACCGGCGCTTCCCAGGCAGTACTTGGGCATGATTCTGAGGACAGCAGGGACCCAGGAGCATTCCCAAAAGGAAGGGGAGGCTATTGGTAAAGCCAATCCCCTGGCTGGATGAGGCAGCAGTTTGGGCACACGCTGTGCCTTACCACTCTTGTCCTGCACATTCATCATATTTACTAAAATAGATCTGTTATACGAAGTTTCTTGATTTGTTGGAATTATTAGCATTTTGTTGTTGTATTAGGATTCAATACACATATGCATGCATAAATACAGAGTTCCTAGGTGATCACTAGGTTTTGTAAAATGCCCTTCAAACTATCACCAGTATTTTCGAAGGAAAGGGCACTCTGTACGGAGTGACAGCCTGTTAGAAATTCTCCTTGCTCGCCCGATTTGCAGCAGACGGACGGACGTGCCGTGTCTAAAATGTAAGGAGGCTTTCTCTTACCGCGATACCGATGGCAAAGCCTGTTTTTCAGATGCAGTTGCTAATCAGTTTGGGACCAGACCTGATCTCCCTCTGCTCGAGCTGAAGGTAACCTGGCCAAAACTAAACGTACGCCGGGAAATGCCAGGCACCCAGTTCTTCTCCCACTTCAGCTGTGGGGCGATACCGTACCTCCACTGGTTTCAGGCTTTCTCTGGGCAGTGCTTAGGGAGAAACCGCCTGGCTTGTCTGCAAGGGGGCAGGTTTGGGGAGAGTCACCCCGGACGAGGGGGCAAGGAGCGCTCCTGCAGCTTCCTGGAGCCCGGTACAGCCGCTGCGGCTGCGGTCTCGGCTCTGCCCGCCCCACGGTGCCCGCGGGGGGAGCCCCCCTCAGTCACGGGTAAGGGGGTGAGCACCACTCACGGGCGGGCTGCCGCTGCCGCCGCCTCCCGCGGGGGAGCCCGGGCCGGGCCGCCGCCATCGCCCCGCGCCGCCGGTGTACGCGCGCTGTTGCCGGGCAACCTGGGGGAAACGGAAGTCACGTGACGACGTGGCCTTGAGGCACGTGGCGCGGCGGCCAGGAACCCACGCGGCCAGGAGGCGGAAGCGGCGCGCGCTGAGGTGGGCCGGGGGCAGGCGCGGGGCGGTGGCGGGCCGGGGCGGTGCGCGCCACGCCGGCCCCGCCCCTCAACCTCAGGGGCTTTCGGCGCGCGGCCGAGACCCTCGCGGGGTGCTGCCGCTCCCGCCCTGCCCCCCCCCCTCCCCCCCGGGGGGGCTGCTCTGCGGCTGCGCGGGCCGGGGCTGAGGGGGCGCGAGGGGCTGTCCCTGAGGGAGAGGCGTTAGGTACCCGCTCAACCGTGGCCCGCGCCCGGGGATTTCCCTAGCCCAGAGACGGGCTGAAGTTGCGGGACTACGGCAAGGAGACCGATTTTTTATATATATATATATATATATATATATAGAGAGAGAGAGAGAGAGAGAGATATAAATAGATTTTTTTTTTTTTTTTTTGGGTTCAGATCTGCAAAGGGCAGTGTTTCTTTTCATGGGCTGCTTTGATTTGGTGTGTCCTTGTTAAAAAGGCTCGCTCCATCTGTCCAGTAGTAGTTTCCTTTTGAAATATCTCTTAAGGTATTTTCCCAGGAGAATGACAGTTTGGTTGCCTGAGCAAGTGGTGATGGAGAAATTTAGAACCATCGGTCAAACTGATTATGCATGAATACTGGAAGATTGGCTCAGTGTTAGCAAGTATTAGTGACTATGCGGCATGAGTTTAGATGCTTTCACATCTATTTTAAACAGAAGTTTGATACTGAACTAGAACTTTGACCTTTACAGACTGCTTTTTTAGCTTCAGCACAACTTCCCATAGCTGCAGGGGCCATAAATAGTTTACTTTGTTTAGGTATTTGTCCTAATGCTTAATTTTCTTGCAGAATTTTTCTCTTCTGAGCACAGGATCAGGGTAGGAATTCGCTACTTTGGTTTATATAAATAATCCTCTTTTTTGTTTGTTTTGGAAACTGTTTTCTGACAGCTATGAAATTTCTGTTGGTTTTTGATTTTGACCATACAATCGTAGATGAAAATAGCGATACCTGGATTGTGAAATGTGCTCCTGAGAAAAAACTTCCTAATGGATTAAGAAACTCCTACCAACCAGGACACTGGACAGAATATATGGGCAGAGTCTTTGTCTACTTAGGAGACAATGGCATCAAAGAAGATGAGATGAAAAGGACTATGACAACAATTCCTTTCACTGCGGGAATGGTAGATCTTCTGAGTTTTATTGGCAAGAACAAAGAATTGTTTGACTGCATAATTGTTTCAGACTCTAATACAGTATTTATTGACTGGATTTTGAAAGCTGCTGACTTCCATAAGGTGTTTGATGAAGTGTTTACAAACCCTGCAGCATTCAGCAGTGCTGGCTATCTTACTGTACAGAGCTTCCATGCTCACCATTGTGCAAAGTGCCCTAAAAACCTTTGCAAAAGAAAAGTTTTAAAAGAATACCTAGGTAAACAGTTGGAGCGAGGAATAAGTTATACACAAGTTGTGTATATAGGTGATGGTGGGAATGACTTATGTCCAGTAATGTTTTTGAAGAAGGATGATATTGCTATGCCCAGGCAGGGGTATACCTTGGAGAAAAAGATTTCTCAACTGGCCCAAGATCTCAGTCCTGTAGAGTGTTCTGTTCTGGTTTGGTCATCTGCTATTGACATTGTGTCTTATCTGAAACTGATTATAAAGGAATAATTCAAGTGATGAAACTGATACATTTATATTTTTTTCTTCCTGAGAGAGAAAAACTGCATGTGTATAAAAGCACAAAATTGTAAAATTGGGCTGTTATCTGAACTTACGTTTTTTAAACACAATATAAAACTGTTTATGTTCCATCTTGGCAATAGTGAGAAAGTGAAGTTAAAATGGCTTTCTAACATAGTTCACATTCCAACATAACTGGGGAAGAGGGGGTTGCAAGAGGAATTGCCATTATTCTTAGTCTTCCCCAAGCCTTTACCAACTACGTAACTGACCTTTTCTGTTCCACTTGCTTAGGGGAAGGGGTAGAATGAAACTCTTTACTTGTCAGGAACTGTGGTTGTGGAAGTTGGCTTTTATACTTCTTTGATCAGGATAGATGTTTAATTTTGTAAATTATTTGGTATGCTTGTAATCTTGTTTGATCAGAAGATGCATTTATATTTTCAATATACTAAATATTTTACCAAACAAAATTACTTTTTAATAGTTTGTATTCTCTTGTAAAGACAATAAAAGTTACTGTCACTAACAAAAGCAGCACACCTGGTTTGTGTATTCTGCTGGCCCATGTGTCATCAGGCAGCTGTTCTTGTAAGGGCCTGGAGAGAGCGAACATAAGTGTAGGTGTCAGCCTTTGGACAACACCTTCCTTTATTTTTGTCAGACTCATTCTCTTCTGGAGAGCAGTAAGGACGTTGCTGTTCTGCTCGCTCTCCCATTCTCCTGACTACTGCCCTGCCAGCGTGCTGCTGCCACTCCTTATAGAGCTGATGCTGGTTTGGTCTTCCCTGCTGACAGCTCCCAGTCAGCCAGGTGCTTTTTTCTTGCTGGGCTTCTGATGCAATGCACAGGCCCACAGAACGGTGCATATGTATACGTGTTTACACTGATTTTACCTATCCACTCTCGTCCATATCTATAGTATAACCCTCTCGCAGGCTGGAAGGGAACATCTATGTCCATTTTAACTTCTTAACAGAATTGTTCTGTCTTTAAGGAATTGTTTGTCAACATGCAGTCTTTACCTCTCACAGTGAGATGAGTCCCAAAGGTTGGTCTATGCATATAGAGATATTAAAAATAAATCTCATTAAAGTTAAATAATGTATTTTCATGCTAAATGTTTTCCTCCTCATAGTCCCACAAAAGGTCCAAAATTTTGATGTAGTCTACTATTGAACTGATGTCTGCTTAAGCTTAAGTGCCTTACTAACAAAAATTAGTCCAATTTTTGCAGCATTTTGGTTGAAGATGTTTGAGGTGTAGCTCAGCAGCCTGCAATTGCTGTAGCTGTCTTCCTCTGCTTTCTGTGCAGCATTGTTCTCATTTTCTTACTGATACTTGAAGTGTGTCACTACCTTCTTTTTCTTAGTTGAAGATTTTGAGAAGTAGTCTTGCCTGTTTTCAGGCTGATAACGTGTATATAAAAGTAAGATTTCCTTTGAATGCTTCCTTGTAAATGGTCCTGCTTTTAGCCCTTCACCTATTTTAATGAATAGTGGAAGGTTCCTTTGAACAGTCCGTTGTCTGAGGTGTCCAGAATAACATGCTTGAGTTCTCAGGAGCACAGCTTTAGTGATGGATATTTGATAGGTGCCTGAGATGTTTGTATTCGAGACCTTACCCTCTTGTCTTACACAAGGGCACGAAGACAGCATCTGAAGAACTAGTGGGTCTCAAGTTGTGGCAGGTTTAAACTGTCTGATTTACAGGTCGTACAAAAGAATGGTAATAGCTGTTGCATAGTACAATTTTGTATAGTTAGTTTTTTAAGTTGTGTGTCTCCTTCATTCTAGACGTGCTGTGGAATGTTCCATATTCTGTGCTGGTCTCTTCTGTGCTTTTCAGAACTGAGCTGTGACACAGCTTGCTTTTGGTCTATCCACAGATCTTAGTTACCACTCACTTAAAAGTTACCACTCAAACAAATGAAAAACTAGTACACAAACAACTATTCAGCTTTTTCTTCTGCTTATATTAACTATTGTTCTTTTAGCCTTAAAGAGCCTACCTTGTAGTTCGCTGTGAAAGTGAAAAATTCATCATCATGCACAAAAAGGGGTGCATTTTGTGGTTTTGATGAAAGTACTGAAGCAGGCATCAAGAGTAGATGAAGCAAAGTAAACTACTTGAAATATTAGCAATTATGATCTAATCACTTCAAGTAGAGGATAGAGCTGGTGCCATTTGCTAGACAAAGTGCACATTGGAGACAAAAGAAGTTTTTCAATTCCAGTAGGTAGGCCATTAAGCTATTGAGGTCTTGGGTTTTTGTTTTTTTTCCTCTTAATAAAAGAGAGAACTTCTCTAAGCCACCACCATTACCAAATTTCCCCATATTTGGATGTAAGGGAGCGGCGATGAGTATCTCCAAAGGGTGAAGCTGGTTTAAGCTGGTAACCCAGCCAAACGAGAAAGGGAGAAGCGCCTTGAAGGGACACACGTTCAGTGTAAGTGTTGCTGACCTCCAACTTGCTGGCCATTTGAATCAGCATGCTATCTGGGAGGGAGATGACTTGGGTAAAGACATTGTGAAGAAATGCGTAATGGAAGGCGTATGCGTGTGTGGGAAACGTTCTAACAGCTCTGCTATCGTGCACCAGCTACTATGAAGAGTACTTAGCCATAGTGTTATGTGCTAGTAGGATGGCCAAGATCTAGGAGAAATTCCTGCTCATCCATAGGAAGCTGATGAAATGGAAAGTACAAAACCACAGCAAAACAAATCAGTTGGCATGGGGATGTGTAAACAGATGCAGGGCTGTACTAGGGAGTGCTCCAGAGAAAGAAATGGAGTGAGTAATGAGCTAGGGGACAGGCCCGGGTCAGAGACAGCCGGGCTACTGCTGGTTCCTGGGTTACACCACAAAACTCCAGTGTCCTGGGCTAACAATGCGTCAAGAGTGGTTGAAAAACTGAAGGCAAAGATGTGTGAGGGGTTTGTTGTTTTTTGTTTGGATCAGCTTATTTATGTCTTGTGTTACTGTGTAAAGGCCAAGGGCGAGTATGAGTCCTGTTGCATGGCCAGCATGTGAGGAAGGATGGCAGAGGGCCGTGTCCATGTACACTGCCCAGTTCAGATTCCTCATTTTGTTCATGCTTCTGGTGTGCATCATGGAGGAAGAGCCACCAGTAATTAAAAAAAAAGGATGCTTTTTAAGCTGTGTAGGGCAGGAGCTCTCTTAATTTCTCTCTGTGAGTACTGCTGGCACTTGGCTAGCAGTGACGAATACCCACCTCCTTTTGGTAGAAGCCGCTGCCAGTCCTTTCAACCCAGGAGAGCTCTGGCAGGGCTGGGGGAGCCCGGCTGCTGGATCCAGAGGATCCAAACCGTGGTGCAGGTGAAGGAAGGAGCACAGCTGCTTAAACCCAGAGGATGCTGTTTCAAACACTTTTAAAGGTTGCCATTGCAGAAAATGTTTTGCTAGCAGAGGAGAGAAAGACTTCTTGAATTGTGAACTACGTTCTCAGAAGTGGTAAAAGCCAATATAACCTTCTTCCCGAGTACTCTGTTTATAATTGGAGCCTGTTTGTCAGCACAGCTTGTGTCCGTCCTTTGCACCCTGCCAGAGTCAGGTGTTTGAGCAGGGCTCTGGCCGCCCCCTCCCGAACCTGCCCTTGTGTGATGGGGGGGGCCGCTGCCGCTCGCTGCCCTTCCCAGCACGGCTCCTCCGCAGGCAGAGGCGGCTCCAGGTGGCTCTGCCGGGCGGCTGCCGGCCACCGGGCTGGCCACGCTCCCCACGCCTCCGCCTCTGTCCCTAACGCGGCCGGGCCTTCTGTCGCCCTCCCCGTCAGCCGCTTGCCCCCCGCCCCGGGGGCGGGCGGCCCCCGCTCAGCAGCGGCGGGGGGGGGGCCGGGCCCCGCTGCCCCCGCGGCAGGGCCGGGCGGGGCACCGAAACAGGAGCTGCCGCCCCGGCCCCGCCGCCTCCCGCGGGCAGCGGCTCTTCCAAAGATGGTCACGGGGAAGCCGCGCTCCGCCCCGGGCGTAAGTTCCGCGCGGGGCGGGGCGGGGCGCGGACAAAGCGGCGCGGAGCCCGGCGCGGCCGGTGGCCCCCGCGGCGCGGCGCGTCCCGTCCCGCCCGCTTTGTGCCGCGGGTCACGGCGATGGCCCTGGCCCTGGCCGCGGCCGCGCAGGAGGACTACGCGTACCTCTACCAGGACTCCTCTCACCCCGCCGGCTTCCTGGAAGCGTTCCGGGCGTTTTACCGGGACGGGCTGTTCACCGATATCACCCTGCAGTGCGCGTCGGGGGTCATCTTCCACTGCCACCGAGCCGCCTTAGCGGCTTGCAGCAATTATTTTAAAGCCATGTTCACAGCCGACATGAAAGAGAAATCTAAAACCCAGATCAGGCTTCCCGGGCTCAGCCACGCCGTACTGGAAGCCCTCGTGAATTATGCATACACATCGCAGATCCAGATAACAAAGAGAAATGTCCAAAGCCTACTCCAGGCTGCAGACCTCCTCCAGTTCGTGTCAGTAAAGAAAGCCTGCGAGCAGTTTCTGGTGAGGCACTTAGATACTGACAACTGCATAGGGATGCACTCCTTTGCCGAATATCATGATTGCTCAGAGCTAGAAAAAGAGTCCAGGAGGATACTGTTGTGGCAGTTTGAAGAAGTGTGGAAGCAGGAGGAGTTCCTGGACATCGGCAAGGAGAAGCTCTCTTATATTCTCTCCAGAGAGAATCTCAATGTTTGGAACGAAGAGGCAACCATTGAAGCTGTTGTTAAGTGGGTTGCACACAACGTGGAAGAAAGAATCGAAGATGTCTATGAACTGCTGAGCTGCATCAAAGTAGACTTAGATAACATGTATCTGAGGTCAGCTTTAAGCCTACAAAAAAAGTGCCGACTTAATGACAAGAAGATAAGGTCACTCATACACAGTGCCCTGAACCTCAAGCCCAAAGGTCTTTCCAGAAGACCCACAGCAGCCATGTATGTGATCGGAGGGTATTACTGGCATCCCTTATCAGAAGTGCACATTTGGGATCCTTTAACCAACGCATGGGTCCAGGGAACAGAGATGCCGGATCACACCAGAGAGAGCTATGGGGTCGCTAGCTTGGGACCAGATGTATATGTGACAGGAGGTTATAGAACAGAGAGCATCGAAGCCCTTGACACCGTCTGGATATATAACAGTGAGAGAGATGAATGGACAGAAGGCTGCCCCATGCTCGACGCAAGGTATTACCACTGCGCAGTTTCCTTGAGTGGCTGCATCTATGCGTTGGGTGGTTACCGAAAGGGAGCTCCAGTGCAAGAAGCTGAGTTCTATGATCCTTTAAAAAAGAAATGGCATCCTATCGCAAACATGATCAAAGGTAGGTAAGCTTTTCATGTGGTGTCTGCTTCAGATGTCAATCCTTTTGCATTTGCCGCTTTTAAGTGCCATGGACACGTTTAAGGTTTGATCCAAGTTCTAGTAAAGTTCATGGGAATCTCTTTTTAATGTTGATGGGCCTTGGTTCAGGTCTTTACTGGCCAAGCGACTGGAAACATCCACGTGCTGTCCTGGGCAGTGCGACAGAACACTGGGGTGGAAAAGCAAGTGGTAGTCTCAGTTTAATTTTGCCTTCTTTCAAGAGTAAAATTTCTGTTCAGATTAGAAATAAATTGGAAAACTACCTGGGTTTAGAGTCCATTCAGTAGAGAGCAAGCTCTAATAAAGGGATTGTATTATTTTAATGGAAGACCAGATTACTAAGATTTTCTGTGTGGTCTTTTATAAAGGTGTCGTCTTCATTTAAAACTTGCCATTTCCTCATATTTCAGTTTATCATCTGCTCAGGATCCTTAGTTTAATCTTTAGCATGAGGATAATGAAAAGCACTAATACCTGTTTGTAGCAGCCAAAATAGTGATCTATTAAATATGCATGAATTTGGATCACAACCTAACTAAAGGGTATTATTTTGTTATAAAATTTATAATCAATTATACATTTTATCATACATTTTTATACTCTAATGCAATTATTTACAATTAATTATAAAATTTTACTGTGAGTTGATGCAACATAGTATTTTTCTACATACATGAGAGTTTTTGGAGGTATCTGTAACAGGAAAAAACACCATGCTCCAAGAACTTTCCTCATTGTGTATTTTACACAAACAATGCTGCTATTCTCTTTTTATTTCCTTTAAAAGCAGAAATGCTATGCTAACACTGTGAGCAGTTACACATTCTGTGCAGTTCTGTCCCATTCTCTGTGTGAAACTCCCTAGATGCTTAAAAACAACACACTAATTTTCTAGTTTTGGTCCATTTTATCTTCCCAGATCCCTTGTTTTATTTTGTTTTGCTCTCCTAGAGACAGAGTTAACATGGCTCCATTCTGTTTGTGTCCTTGTTTATACAATAGCATAATTAATAATAATCATGAGGACTAAAAGTATCAGGAAAGATACCCCGAGACACTGAACGATTGTAACTCCCACTGTCTTTGTCCTTGCCGTATGAGTGACTTTTCAAAATCTCTTTAACTTCGTGAAATATTAAAAGTAGTTCCCTATTCCAAAACCAATGTGACAGTGTGTCTTCAATTACAGCATAAAAATTCTGTGAAATAATATGTGACTGCGTGATAGGCAATATGTATCAGTTACTGCAGTTTTATCTAATTGCTCTTGATTTATGCTGATAAAATAAGGTGTCTTGAGAAGTCTATTTAATTTCACATTCAGTTAAATACTTGCAAGCATAATTTCACCCGAAAATGTTAATTAATAAGTCATTGAAATGGGATTACAGCTGGAAGTGACCGTTGTTGTTGCGCGCAGTCTGAAGGTGTGTTGTGACTTTCACACTGTGTACAGGTGTTGGAAATGCCACCGCCTGTGTCCTGCATGAAGTCATCTACGTAACCGGAGGCCACTATGGGTACAGGGGAAGTTGCACCTATGATAAAATCCAGAGATACCATTCAGGTAGTAATGAGTGGAGTATAGTCGCCACAAGTCCGCATCCAGGTAAACAGTAATTTCTGTAATGAGCATAGAGCTTGATCTGACTACTTGCCTCTGGGAGTCTTTAAGCCCACCTAAGAGTTTCTGGCGTGTTCCTAATAAAAGGAGCAATGCCTGAAGGGCAGCAAGGGCCAGAGTGGGATCATCTCCCATTTCCAGACTCAGAGAGGGAAAGGGAAGACCCTCTTCAGGCATCTGTTCTATAGAAATCACTATATAAACATTGAACTAAGGAATGGCTGCATTCTATTAAATGATACAGTAAACTAACTTTCCATAAAATCTATCTATTCATAGGCATTTGTCAAAAATCACATGAATTTTCAAAGGGTTTTCTCTACATTCTGCATTTGGTAACAGTAAGTTTTTAAAGCGATTCTCACTAAGTACTGGTGCTCATGTCTGTGTCTTCTGTAATACCTTGAGCTTGCTTTTACCAAGTGTAGCAGAAAATCCTGAGGTGTCTCCTAAGCTCAGTGAAGAAACCTGTCCGCTCTGCGATGCCCAATGTTTGTCATGTCGTTGCAGTTTAAGTTAACTTTATCATGCTGAGTTGAACTGTATTCCTTTCTTCCTGAAGAATATGGATTGTGTTCAATTACATTACAAAACAAGATCTATTTTGTGGGTGGACAGACCACGATCACGGACTGCTATGACCCAGAGCAAAACGAGTGGAAGCAGATGGCTCACATGATGGAGAGAAGGATGGAGTGTGGTGCTGTGGTTATGAATGGATGCATCTATGTTACAGGAGGATATTCCTATTCAAAAGGAACATACCTGCAGAGCATTGAGAAATACAACCCGGAGCTGAATAAATGGGAAGCAGTAGGTAATCTTCCCAGCGCTATGCGGTCACATGGCTGTGTCTGTGTGTATAACGTGTGAACATCTAATTTTCATATTGCTGTTACAGAAAACAGCAGATGCAGTATTCATAATAGTACCGATTACCTCATGAATGAGATGTGTAATATAGTCTCTTAGTGCACATTGTTAAAAATCAGGTATAATTTGTCTTTATTTTAAACAGTTCAGAAATATAAGTGTAGTAACGAGATTTCCATGTATTTTTCAGTCCAATCATTCTTTGTCATGAAAGTTTTCAAATGACTCTCTTACAATACTTTGTGCAACTATATAGGAACTACTGTGAAAAACAGATTTGTTCTCATTAATCACTGAGTGGAACTATGATCTGGTGCACTAAGGTGAGTGAAACTAAACAAAATGCCCTGCATTTCTGTGGACTACTGAGCTTAAGATGATATCTTTGATACTCTAAAGATAGCTGTAGAAGTGGTTCATTGCCACAAGCTAAGTTGTTGTACATACAGAGCAAAATCACTTGGATAACTGTTATCACATCCAGAAATCATGGCCAGTTACAGGATGCCTCTGATTCTACCTTCAAATGGCAGAGGGAGTAGCACAGGCTGGGAGTGAGGGCAGAAATGTCATGCATTAGCTCCAGAGCACAAGCTGAAAGTGTGCACGAGTATTCCAACTGGATTCCCTCCCATGGCTGCAGCCCTTCCCGAGCTGCTCTGGCGTGGGACATCCCCACATGCTTCAGTCCTCCCAGTGCTGAACAACAGCGGGATCTGCTTTTTCCCACAAGACCCCATCTTCTCCGTGTACAATCACTTTGATCAGCCATGCAAAACACAGGCCATAAGTCAATGTCTGCTCCACCGTAGATCTTCATGGGTGGCAGGGGGGGCCGCCCTGCCGTCTCCCCACAGGATACAGGAGGGTCTCTGCTCCGGCACACCTCCCCCCTCCTTTCTTCCTCCGTTCCTCCACTGACCTTGGTGTTCACGCAGCTGCTGGAACTCCTCCTCACAAGTCCGACTGCCTGTCACCACGTCCCTTCTTAAATACGTTATCGCAGAGGTGCAGCTGATTGGCTCAGTTTTGGTGCAGAAGTGGAGCTGACTTGGAGCTGGAGGATCTTTGAGAAGCTTCTCACAGGGGGCCACCCCTATAGCCCCCTCCCCTGCCACCAAAAAAAACGCCACCACTCACTCAACCCAGGACATTGAATCATTAGTGCAGTGACTTCTTCGGATTTGTTTTTTCCTTAAAGCTTGTATAGATAGTGCAATGTGGGGCTTGTTATTAGCCCAGTTACCTGAGGGAGCAAGGTGCAGCTGTGTTGTCTTTCTCTGTGTGTGTAAGCTCCCCTCTAACGCTGGACTCCTGTCTGGGTTCAGCCATGTTTTGCAGGGAGGTATAAGCCTTAAAATTATCAATTTTTTTTCAGGTTTTATGAAAACCAGTAACAGGATAGAGGAGAGACAGACTGAAAGGAAGCACGAGTTGTGTGGAAAGTACAAGGTGGCAAAGCCTTCCCAGTGCCAAGGAGGTGGCTGTGAAGAGCGTGCCTGCTCCTGCCTTTGCTGCCCCTCACCCAGTTCTCTTTCAGCTGCTGTGAGGCCACGCAGTCTGACAGTGGTGATCCAAGTGCAGAAATGCCTCGTGGAGCAGAGGGGCTCTTTTTGCCCAGATCAGTTCCCCAATCCAGTTTATAAAGCGACTGCAGAGACAGCTGTTAGCCATCGGCATGGGAGGCAGGGACAGCACAGGCCTGCCGTAGGGTACGGTGGGAGCTTCCCACACCAGCACTGCCACCTAAAATGAAATTTTGGTTTTATTAGATTTATCAGATACTATGAAAGGAGCTTTCCAAGCAGATAAGCCCTGAGTTTATAATATTTCTTGATCATAAGCATTTTCAACATTTTTTTTGTTCTTTCACATTTTTATGCTATTTCTGACTTGCATTTGATTGCTGATAGCAGGCAGCACTCAACTCTGAGCTTTGATGTGAAGTTCTGTGATGTATATATAGTTCTTGTTTTGATGTCTTTGTGTGTCACTTTACTATGTCAGAAGCTCATGTGCGCATGGGTTCAGTGTTTTGCTTCATTATCCATCCCACTGAGAGCTATTTAAGGTTCCAATGCAATTTGCTCAAAGACTCTAAACTGTAAAGAGGTGTGCGGAATTGAACACTGATGCTGTTTGAAATGTGTGGGCTGGGCAGGTGGGCAAAAGAAATAAAGTGAATGTTTCTCCTGGAAATCTCCATAACCGAGAATTGTTCGGAGGCAGATGGAGATTTAAAGGACATCGCGAGAGCACGGAGGTGATCTTTGTATTGAACAAAGTGAACTGAATGTCTGTAAGTTATTTTTCAGTGCAAAACATGTACCTGCGAAGCTTCATGTTTGTCAAAAAACATGAGCATAGAACAGCTGCTTGTGGCTGGCCCTGAGGTTCATTCCGGCCCGTATCCTGTCACTGACAGTCCTAAGTCAGTAAAAGGATGAGAGAACAAGGCAAGGACTGATAAAACCTCCCAGCCACCTCCTGTCCTCTGCTTCTGAACAAGGTGCCCCATGTTGGTTGGAGCACAGGCGCTGGAAGCCGGAGCCTGCTTTCTGCCTCTGGGCACCCTGTAGCTGTGATACGCTGCTGCTTGGCCCCCTGTGCAACTTCAAAGTGAAAAACAACCTTTAGTTCTTGTACACTAGGAGTAATACTGCCTAGTGAGAATGCTGCCTAGGGCTTCAGCTGAGTCCTGATTTTTTATGTATTTTTGAATGTGTTAGAATAAATGGAGTGTAGAAGTTCAGACTTGCAGTTTAATTGTGACTGGTGCTATTTTTTACAATAACCTACACAGCCCTGTTAAATGTGTCCGTAGCACACCCCAGGAAGGTGTGTGGCGATCGGGTGTTGAGCACAGGCGGGAATAGAATTCGGTGAGGGGAGCCGGGATTCCGGCTTCTGGTCAGTAACTTGTGCATCCTAGGGGAGGTGGAAAGCTTCAAGCGGTGGATCTTAGCCATCCGTGCGACAGGGTTTTAATGGTAAAGAGCTGAATGTGAACACTAAATTATTGTGCTATTGGACCTGTATTATGGGGGACAGTCTTACTGTTTCACTTGCAAACTAGGAAATGAATCAGTACGTAAGTCAGACCTGCGGGTAAGTCGGTACTCTTGCTAGAGAAGCTTTCGGTTACGTTTTCTGTGACCAGACCCGGTAGCCTGTCAGTGGGAGCGCGGCACGCGGCCCCCCCCCCCCTTCCCTCAGGCGCAGCCCGCGGGCGGCGGCGCTTCCTCACGGCCGTTCCCGCCTCTGGGCCGGGCCCCGCCCCCCCCGCCGCGGCGCTCGCGCTGCCGCTCCGCCCCCGCCCCGGAAGCGGCGGCCACGTGAGCGGCAGGAGGGCGGAGGCTGTTGGGCCGCGCGGCGCCGTGTGCGGCCTTTGAAGCGGCGGAGCGGGGCAGCGCGGGGGCCGGTTCCCGGAGCTGCGGCAGGTCGGTGCTCGGGATGGCCTCTCGGCCCCCTCCACCCCCCCATGCCTTCCCCCGCGCCGGGCCCCTCTGAGGGGCGGCAGGGGAGCGGCGGCCGGGCCGGGCCGGGCGGCGCGGGGAAGCACGTGCCTCCCCTGTCGCGGCGGCTGGGACAGGAGCGGGGGGCGGCGGGCGGCGGACAGCGGCCGGAAGCGCTTCAGGCGGCGGTTGGGCGCGTTACCGGTGCGGGGGGCGAGCGGCTGCCCCAGGCGGGGCCGCGGTGGTGTCGGGGCGTCCCGGGGCGCACCGGCGGGTCTCCCGGCATGGGCGGCCAGGGCTCCGGAGCCGGCATTTCTATCGCTGAAATCCTTCCCGTAAGAAATTCCTCATATTGCAGTGAGTCTACTCAGAAACCAACTGGGAAAGTAGCATCCGCGGTAACGAGGGGTGGCGGTTAATCCTTGCCAGAAGAGCTGTGTTTTGATACAATCTAGTCGGAAGGCTCAGACCTCTTACACACGGGTTTCTGAACAGCACGTTGCATGAGTAACAGTTCCGCGATACTTTTTTTTTTTTTTTTTTTAAATAGAGCCTTTCCCTCTTATATAGTAATGGTAAAAGCTGTTAGCCTGCAACTAAACCTTGCCCAGGCCTTGAAACTAAATGGCTGATAAGATGAAAATCCACTTGAGAGTTCTTTTGGGATGATTACCTAATACAGCACGAGATCAAATTGATCTAGTTAATAGGGCTTGACTGTAATTTTCCATTTGTAATTTACGTCTCATGCCCACTTGCGTTATTTTAACTTGTTTTCATTTTGAGCGGTACTGATACACACTGTTGTTGCACAGGAATGGGTCAGTATGGTCTACTGAGAAAGCACTAAACGTAAAATTATATGTAGGATCCTGCATGCTGTTCAGCCTGCGATTGTTCTTCAATGGAGCTAGCTTTTTATCAGTCTTCATGGCTGCACAGCAACTGAAAACTATTGATCTGGAAGTTGGATCCAGAAGACTAGCTTGTGCCAAATGACTGAGCTGAAGAGTTTAAAGTGAGCATGTGCAACAAGACTAGAATTTCTTTTAGATTAGAAGGCTGCTTCTGCTTTTATTTTAAATGGGTTAGAGCTCGATCAGTGTCTGAACTGAATTCCACATACTGCAAGCTTGAGTCTTCCTTAGTATTGCCTTCACCTTGTTACTTGCAGCTGAACAGGTGATTTTTAGAAAAACTTTTCCAGCTGTAAGACAATCTGAAGGATTTGTCCCAGGTCTTGTGTTGTTTTACACTTCTGTACAGTTTGGATTTTACCTTGAAAATACTGCTAAGGAAATGGGCTTTGGTTTTCATTTCTTCTTAGCAGTGGAGCTGAGCCTTATTATGTGGAAAGTGAGTTGCTTGTTCCAGGTGTTCTAGTACCCGGAGTGAGGCAGACTGGGAGAGCTGGGCAAGTGCAAGAAAGACAGGGTATTCACGGATATAACAGGGCTGAAGGAGTTTAGGTGGCAGAAGCTAGGTGAAGACCAAAGCATATGTTTTTTCGCTACGTTTCACAGCATTATTATCTTGGCATTTCGTAATGGTTTCTTGGGTATCCAGCAGCAGAAAGAAGGCTGTCCTGCATATTTAAGACTGGTGCGGTCTTTGGCAAGGCTAGAAGAGCCAGGCTACTCAGGGCAGACTAAAGGGGGGTTCTCTGAATGACAAAACCAAAGCAGTCAACAGCTTTACAAACAGATTCTTTTGTAGTTATACTATCTCAGACATGCTGCCTCTGCATCATCCTCACCTCATTAACTGGGGTAGAACTGCTGGGGATTTGGCAGCATGCAGCCAAAAGGTTCCAAGTTTTATTTTAACAGCTTGTATTGAGGGAGAACTTGCTCCAAGAAATCCATGCACTGTTCTGCCTGACAGGTAAACAGCAAAGACCACTGAAGGAGGAAGCAGATACAACCTACTTGGAGGCTGGTCTATATTTCACACTTACAGAAGAGTACAAAGCAGCTGTCTCCACTCAGCTCTTTCTTAACAGTGTGCTTGACATCAGCAGACCAAATGGAAGGTGTTGAAGGAAGATTCCTTTATCCGGCTCAATCTGTATTTCAGGGTGCACCAGGAGATTGTCTCTGTTTTAGAGTTCCAGAACATATTGTTAATGCATTTTTCTTAAAAGTGGGATACATGACTAAAATATGAATTAATTTTTTTTCCTCAGAATATGCAAGAGAGCAAAATTTTTTACATCTCTTAGTAAATTAGTATGTCTTCTTAAACCTTAATTGAGCTGTTCTGTGAAAAGCACCCATAAAGAAATAGTTCACTCAAATATGTTGCCTAATGCTTGAAAAAATCTGCCACACTTGGAGAAGAGACTTTGCAATGCGAGGTAAATCAGCAAACTAAGGTTAGAGAATATGAGGATTCACTTAGCTGCCATTCAGTACATTTTTTTTTTTTTGACCCTGAGGATATAGTTTAATGTCAAACCTAACCCGCTACAACTGCTTGCTGCCCCAGAAAGATTTTTCTCGTTATTTTTCACTCTTGTGCTCCCTGCCCTAACAGCTCCACATCAGTAGTCTTTTCTACAAGCTGAATCAAGTCAGTGATAAATTTATCTAATGGAACTGTTCTTCCCTTTCTTCAATAGGGGTTAACTTTCTGTTGGATTAGGTGTTACAGCAGCACACAAGGAGTGTGGTCAATTAGTTGATAGACTGCCATTAAATTACACAAAATTAGGTATAATGTAAAATAGAACACTGGTTTCTCTCACAAGTCTGGTGTTGTGGATGATGTGGCAGGGGAGTGTTAAGATAGTGCTGAACTGATTAAGTCTCCTGTAGTCAGGGTTGCTAGTGTGAGACATCTCTAAAGTAACTGTAAGTGTTAGCTTGTGTACTTGTGGCCTGGATTTTTTGTAAAAATTGTGCTTTATAGACAAATGGATCATACTCTGAACATAGCTGTCAACTGACACTTGCTGAAGTCATGCTTTAAAGTGTTACAATGTGAGGTACAAGTGTAAATCCAGTAGTGGAGACCTGGATGCAAATTTTAAGGTGGTTAAGTGCCTAGATTAAAAAGAAATACCAGCAAGTCAAAAGATGTACGGTAGTCTCAAGACCAGGAAGAGGAAATAGGAATACTGCAGACGGCAATAGGTTGAACAGTGATTGTTGAATTAAACTACTAAAGTAAGAAGATGGGGCTGCCAGGCAGGTGTTCTGAGGAAGAACATGATTTCCTGTGACAAGGGAGCCTCAGGGGAGTTTTCCCTGCTTCTATGTTGTCAGTCATCTTGATGCTCTGAAAGATGTTACTGTCCTGCAAGTGACAGAAGAGTGGAAAATATATGCTTAAATCTCCCAATAAACCACGCAAGACATGAGTGCAAATCCATCTTCACCTGTAGTCTTAATGATCACTGATCTGTGCAGTGGAGTAACTGGGGGCCATGACACTGCTTCATCTTCTGTAGCTGGATTTAACAAGTATGATAGTGCCTAAAGGGAGAAGGAAGAAATCTGTGCTTCATAGTTCAAAACTGAATTCAAACTGATTTCTTACATCTTTATAAATTCATTTTTCCTCGAGGATTACTCTTCACACTCTGTCCTTATCTTTTAAGCAACTAGACAGACATTTTCTGATCCCAATTAACTTTCTGGCCAGTAGCTGCTTTTTTACCAACTGTGTAGTGCCTGCATCTGAGGTACTGGGATTATAGGCTTAATGCCAGTTAAATGAAGAAGTTACTTTCAAGTTAAAACATCTTACCTCATATCAAAGATGCTTGATTCAGTATTCAGGCAGAACTGCAGTGAAGACAAGTTTGTAAAGGAGAGAACTAGGCATCTTTAGGATGTGTTAGTAAATGCAAATGTTTCATTCCTTCCTCCAGTAAGTTCCTTGAACTTTAAAAGATTGATTAGGAGGCAGAAACCTCAGGCAAGTTTCTAATGATACCTATTTAGGAATGTTAAACAATTTTCATTATTGATGTTTTACATAGTGAGGAGAGGTTGGATTTCAGTTAAAGAACAAATGTTAGCTCTCAGGTTTGTTGTTAGGTACTAGCTGAGGACCTGTGCCTAGAAAAAGGTAAATAACAAATAGTGCTATAAAGTGCCAGCATTTTTTTTATTTATCTTGAATGTAGAATGCCAAATGTTGCCTTAGCCAAAGTATTTTACTTTTTTTTTTTTTTTCCCCAGTTGTTTTATAGTTCTTCTTGGAGTTCTGCAGTCGCGTTTAAAGCTGGCTCACAAGCATGAATGTATGGCTAATTTACTTGTCTGTTATCCCATTTAGATGAGGCTGCACTGAAATACAACACTATACGAATATAAGTCTGTAGAAGGTACTATTCAATCCTTCGTGCCTTTGCTTTATATTTTCTTCAACACAGCTGGTGAAAATGGCTGAAAATGGAGATGGTGAAAACATGTCTATTTTGGAAAGCAAAATCTGTCAGCAAATTGAGGTAAGTTCAATTTATAGTTTGGGATGTGGACTAAGATGTACTTTTGGAGACTGATTAGTAGAGCCTTGGTTAATGGGAAGTTAACTGCATAGAGAGTTAGATTTGAATTTTCATCTCTTTAAAAAATGTGTCACAGGTCTATGACAGGTATTTAATACTTCAAGATAATTCACAATTGTAGTCTAAGTTGAAAGTAATACTCATATAGAGTTGCCTGTAAGACCACCATTTAAAAACACAGAAAGTTTAACTTGCTAGTGTTTCAGGTACTATAGCAAGTGACTGTATCATTAAACAATTTATTACTGTGTTCACTGGGGTTATTCTATCTGTGCAAATGGGAAGATTAATTTTCATCCTATATGACTTAACTTTTTTTGGGGAAAAAAATCCTCCTACTCGGGAATCTGTCCTGGTCAAAATATTAGCACATCAGATAACTTGCTATTATGATTAACTGCTTTGCAATTTATTGCTACAAATTACAATTTAACTTATGTACCTACTTTAGATTAACTACTTCTCACTCTAGAGGCTTGGAGGTTTGCCCTACAATGGAAAACTGAGTACATCATTTAAAGTGACATCTAGAACAGAACTGTTTTCCTGAAGGACAAAAATACAGCTGCACATGAATCCCCATTAGCATTTGGAGCTGTAGTCATTATTTATGGAAAAAAAAACAAAACAAAACAACAACAAAACCCCCAACAACAACAACAACAAAAAACAAAAACAAACAAAAAAAAACCCCAACAAAACAACAAACAGAGATTGAGGAAAAACAGCAAAGCTAGGCTTATGGTAATGTGAGTTTGAGGTATACTAGGTGGAGAGGTATTGTTGTTGCACTTTTTGAAGCATGGTGATATTGGTGGTAACACTCCAACTTATCCTATGGCTTCAAGTATTTGACCCTAGTTAGATGACTGCTAGTAAGCAAAAGAATCTGATTAACTTGTCTGTCTTGGACTGAATTGTCTTCCCATGCTGGACATGATCAAAATGAGAACATAGTAAATTAAGATATAAAAATTGTTTTTATTTTACAGTATTTTCTTGATTGAGACTTAGCAACTTAAGTCTGTATGTATGATTTCTCAGTGTAACAGATATGATATTCTTGCTCATACATTCCTTAAATAAGGACTACGACCTGAATCTGTTGGTGACAAATTTGACTTTTGACTCTGCAGAGCTTGATCAGGTTGACGAATAATTGTGTTAACAGAATAAGCTTCATGCCTTTCCTAAACAAAACTGCAGTCTACCTTTGCCTCATTGGATGAAGCACTGTTTGTTTTTACAGTTTATGTCTTGAAGCTGACTTTTGGAAAAGTATTACATTAAAGCAGGAAGTAATAATTTCCAAAATTCTGATTATTCAGATTGATGAATTTTGGTATGTCTCAATCCATTGCAGTAAATTATCAGATGAAAACGAGTTTTTAAGACTGAGCATTCAAAGACAAATCTCTCTCCCCACCTCCTCCCCTTCTTTTTTACAGTACTATTTTGGCAATCACAATCTACCAAGAGACAAGTTCCTAAAGGAACAGATCAAACTAGATGATGGCTGGGTGCCTTTAGAAGTAATGATCAAATTCAACAGGTAAAACAAAGCACAACTAATCTGGATGGAAGGGTAATTTACAGCTACATATCTCTACTAGGGGACAAATGTCCCTGGTCTGCATGTACAACTCCTATTGCTGCTTTAACATCTGGCTTCAGCTTTGCCTGTTGTAGTAACCTGTGTCTGCTTATTCAATAGGTTAAGTCGCCTTTCAAAAGATTTTAGTGTTATTGTAGAAGCACTAAGAAAGTCCAAGACTGGTTTAATGGAAATAAATGAAGACAAAACTAAAATCAGAAGATCTCCAAACAAACCCCTCCCTGAATTAAATGACCAGTACAAGGCTGCAATTAAAAACAGATCTGTGTATGTTGTAAGTAAACTTCTTCCTTTGCTCTGTGCTGTTCTGCATGACTTTGACTGAAAGCCATATAAGCAAAGCTTGAATTAACTCACACTAGATAGGTTATAATTTCCGACTGTCAGTTTGTTGCATATAATTGAAGCTTGTTGGTATCTTGCAGAAAGGCTTTCCACTAGATGCAACTCTTGATGATATCAAAGAATGGCTTGAGGATAAAGGTCCAGTTGAAAACATTCAGATGAGGAGAACATTGCAGAGAACGTTTAAGGTAGCTCTTGTGATGAACAGTTAGACCTGGGGCAGGGATCCCCCTGGACAACATTCTGTTCAATAACTCTAACACCGAATGTCTCTTACTATTTAACAGGGCTCAATATTTGCCGTTTTTGATAGTGTTGAATCTGCTAAGAAGTTCACAGAGATCCCAAACCAAAAGTACAAAGACACAGAGCTGATAGTACTTTTCAAGTAAGTCCACTTTACTGATATATGAACTAATAATAGTCAGGGATGGATTCAGACAAGAACCTGGCTTGACTTGAGAAGTGCAAGTTTCTACACTGTTGTACTGGTATTGATAGATGTACCTTTGGGAGACTAGCATCCCAACACTGAAAGATAATCTCAACTGTTTATTGGCTACTGCTGTCTTACATAGGTAATTATAATGAAATACTTTAAGTGGTATTAACTTAGCTTATATTCTGCTGAAGGGAGGAGTACTGTACAAAGAAGAATGAAGAAAGGAGACAAAACAAAGTAGAAGCTAAAGCAAGAGCTAAACAGTAAGTCATAATCAATTGAAGTGTCTGGTTTTGCTCACCTGACCACACTTGAGCCAACTCTTAATAAATTTGACTTTTCTACAGGGAAAAAGAAGAAAAACAGAAACAAGCAGCAGACGCTGAAATGGTAGGTGTTTCTTATATCTCTGTACCTGAAAACTGTGCAGTGCTTCCTTTTGTATAGATTTTTCAATCCACACATAACAAACATGCTCCTTCAGCTATATTTTATAAAGCTAACACAGGATATTCAGAGTTTGAAATTCTAGAATATAGAACACTTTTTCTAGAAATTCACGTCAGCTTTTCCCACTAACCTACAGTAAGACATTTAGTCATGGCATTTAATCTTATTTTCAAGAGACTAATTTTGTTTAAAGGATCATATCCTGAATTTAAATTATTAGGCATGTTTACCTGTTCAGAAGTGATCCTAAACACACCATTGAGATCATCCTTCTGTGGTATTTAAAGGATCCAATAAGGATTTAATCGGTATATAGATTTTCAACCTGAGGTATCAGCCTTCAGAAAACTGTTTTGTAGAATGTAAAGAGCAAAACTCTGTTATGGGAAAGGAGTTCTAAGTTCCTCATACATGTATTATAGTAAGGAAAGAAACTTTAAGAAAGGAAAAAAAAAAAAAAAGAGGGGGGCCACACCATGCAAGACTTGGTCATATGCATAAGCTGTGTAGCAAAAATGCTTGGGTTATGGATAGTGATGAGGGGAGTAACTTCAGTTGCTTATTTATCACTACCATGTTTAAATAGTCTTAGGATTGAGGGGAAAAAAATAATATTCAAGCTTGACTCTTCAACAAAAATGTGGGTTTTTTTCATTTCATGTAGAAGTCTCTGGAAGAAAAGACGGGATGTCTTTTGAAGTTTTCTGGTGATCTAGATGATCAAACATGCAGAGAAGATCTCCATGATGTATTCTCTGATCATGGAGAAATCAAATGGATACATTTTGTCAGAGGTGCGAAGGAGGTCAGTAGAATCTTAGACAAGGAGTTAACATACCTGTATTAAAATTTGAAACTGAATGATTAAATGCTTGTTCTCCTTTGTAATCAGTAAAAAGTTATTTGACTGGTGCAATTGCAGAATATTTAATTAAATTATTCATTTAAATTATTTCAAAAGAACAGATAAAGGTTCCAGCATTCTCAGTTGATAAGGTCAAAACTGAAACTGAGAATGTTTGTTAAGGCAGTCTCAGGGTTTTGCTTTAGACATGTTTTACATCAGGCAAGAGTAATGAACTTGCTGAGTTACCTAATGGGATATGTTGTTCATCATTCTAGCTGAATGTTTTTGCAGTAAGATTCAAATGCAAATGTCGCTCTTTTTAAGGGAATTATCCTATTTAAGGATGTTGCAAAAGAAGCTCTGGAAAAAGCCAAAGAAGCACATAATGGAAACTTACAGCTTCGGAACAAGGATGTTACATGGGAAGTGCTAGAAGGAGATGTAGAGAAAGAAGCTCTGAAAAAAATATTGGAAGATCAGCAAGAATTGCTGAAACAGAAAACAAAAGGTCCTCCTTTTATTGATTTAAGCATTTATGATGCCCTAGAAGTGGCACTGTGTGGAAGTAACTGTAAATAGTGAATGCATATTCACTGACTAACTTTAAAGCATTATTTTGAGCTTGCCAGTTAAGTGATTCAAAGTTCCTGATATCTTATATCCCCACAGGACGCAAAATTAAAGGAAAAGGAAGAGGGGGAAAGATACCTCAAGGTGCACACAAGGGGAAATTACAGTTTCAGGGCAAGAAAATAAAGTTTGAGAATGAAGAAGAAGGTGGTGAAGATGATACTAAAACAGGTGTGTCTTCTGTGTACTGGATGCAGTTTCTTTAGTACATGGAGCTATTTTCTGGAGAAGTGCTCATGTTTCCTACAAACATTTCAGATTTGGCCCTACACTGTAGTATTTCTGTCCTCTTGTCAGTATCAGTAAAGTAACTTTAAAGGTCTTGTGCTTGATTCCTTCCAGAACTGTCCAAAAAGCATATTGAAATAATTACTAGATAGCTGAGGCTGTAGTACACAGGGCTGTTCTAAGCATCCTGCATTGAAAGATGGTGGTTGTCAGCAACATTACAGAACTGTACAGACTCTCTCTCGAGGCGATTTTTTATTTTTTTCTTGATGGTATGAGAAGACTAATAGTTCTGCATAGTGGTATTTAGCTTGGAGAAGATGAGCAGCTAAGCTTCTGTTCATTAGATAAAGCACCTGCTTAAACAAAACCCAGTGAAACCTACTTCTGTTAGATTATTTTCCTTCATCTTCTTACCTGCCCTCCTGCTGTGAAGTTATACAGGGAAGAAGCTCTTCTAAGTTGTTGGTATTTTAGAATATCTAGAAGCTTTAAGTCACAGTAATAAGTAAACCCTCTAGCATAGCAATGGCTGTGGATAAACTAGGACTCGTCCTTGAATTTATATGGTAGTAGGGGTTTGTTTTTTCAGATGATTTTGGATAATACTGGAATGCTTTTCTTTACCATAAATGACTATATATTCAATCTTGCAGAACCAGCAAGTCCCAAGAAGAGACCACTAGAAGAAATGGAAAAAGAAGAACCTGCACCAAAACAACTGAAAACAGAAAACGGAGATGGAGATCAGTAATACTAAAATAAATCTAAAAAACAAAATTGTTTTTATTGTTCCATTTTCAATAGGTTTCAAAGACATGCCTCAGTTCAGGAGTTTCTTAGCAGAAAATCTAATGAAATCCACTTCAATGTCAACCTACAAGGAGAGGAAAGATTAATTTTGTTGGGTTACAGCTTTTTTGTTTTTTAAGCAGCATGCTTACTCCTAACATACCACCCTGGAAAACTCTTTTGTATTTATAGTTTTGTTTATACTGTCAGATCCTCTCAACTTCTCTGGCACTTCATTCAAATGTAAAAGGTTCTGGACTCTGTAATCTTGCTGTTATGGTGAATAGCAGCTGCCAATAAATTCAGAACTTAAAACTGCATACTACTGAAGCCTAGATCTTGGTGTAGCATGAAGTCGTTAGCTGTGAAGTACCAAAGGTGAAGGCCAGACTTTCATCATTTAAGTTCAGGTCACCAAGAGAAAAAGATACAGCTGAATAAAGCTTCCAGCAGCTTCTTTGCTACTCAGCATACCTAACAAGCTTCAAATCTTGCTCAGTCTACTCCAGGATTCTCTCTGCTTGCCCTGTGGGAATGGGATACGTCTTCTAGGCCTGCATTCAGCACCCAGGAACATGCCTGTGGGCTTAAGCTTCTGTACATTAGCATCTTGACCAGGTCTTCTATTATGGGATGAAGTGTGCAGCTTCCTCCTGCTTCCCCGTAGGACGGTTCTATGAGGGGTTTCACTGGCTGTAGTTATTTACAGTGTAGAGCACAGAACACTGAAATAATGCTACAGCTGTAAAATCCTAGTTACTTCGGCTTTCATTACTTAATTCAAAGTTCCGGTTGCAGATAGGATCAAGCAAATAACTATTAAAAGTTGAATCAAGGAGGCTACCCTTACCTTTTTCACAACTAGTTGCAGTACTGGCTTTAATCTTTGTATAGCTTTGACTTGCATTACAATGATTCTTTTCCCTGTGCAACTATAAAATGTAGTAACAGCAATGGAACTTGTTGCCATCATAGTGAACTTCTCTCAAGTGCTGTGAGCATTCCTCATCTAGTACATATGGCCCTAAAACTTAAATTGCCTTAACTAGAATTTCTTTACCTGTCCAGTACAATACAGAGCATTTTAGCATTTTATCAGTTTTGTTAGGTTTTATACTTACTGATTTCTTTTTATGGAACTTGTATGATGCTGGTAGGTCATATCTAAGTTCTGGGGAAAATACATACAAAGAATACTTGTTACACTAACATGATTATTAGTCAACTGACTTACATCCTACACCTGTGTTCGTCTGTTGCCCCCTGACAACTGTTTTGACCTCTTGACTAGATTATGACCAAACATTTAAGACAACCACATCAGACAGTAAGTGGATGGCTGAAATGCAGTTGTGTTTCAGGCACCTGTGCAACTTCCATGTCTTAAGTTGTATGAACGTATAAAGCATACAGCTGGTGATATTTAAGAATTTGGAAGATACTTGAACAACTGTCAGAAAAATATTTAGGTGGCTGTAAGGACAGGATGCTTTTTTGTGTCAGGAATTACCTGCGTTTTGCTTTTCTTATTCAGCAACAATCTCCTTTTGAGAAGCAGGAAGGTAGGTAGCTTCTGCTAGAGGGTAAAATCTAGTCCGGGAAGAAATCCAATTCTAATTATGCACAGAATATGTATTCCTCAGAGCCTCATCAAGTGTCTGCTTCTATTCTAGCCAGGTAGCAAGGTATTAAACAGGGCTACTTAGAAAAAGACCTGTGCCATTTTCAGTGTTAAGTCACACTTAAATTTACCGTAGGCTGTTAAGACGGGCTAGTAGTGTTAGATATTAGCCCCCAACAAAATGTTTTGCTTTGTTTTTTTTTTTTTTTTCTTTAACAACAAATTAATCTTACCTGCTATGACTTCCATCTTCACTTCCCATTCATCTGCTTTCTTCTGAATGTGCTGCAATATCAAATAGATATAGGTAAATTTAAAAGCTTGTGTCTACTCTGTCTTATAAACATCTACACCCCTCTACTTATTTAAGAAGTCTCTTGTGCTGTTTTTCAAGCTGAAACATTAGATCACATACATATCTTGGTGTATGCGAGATCAGTTAATTGACACCATTAGTATTTACCCAAAACAAGTTTCATACCCCATAAAGGTGTGAACTGTGAAGCTATAGATACATCATTAATTGCCAGCTATTTCATTGCCTCATTAATGCTTGCCCTACTTAAATGAAGGATTTACCTGCCGCGTTGCAGTTTTGTGAAGGGAATATACAGCTGTCTTTGCCATTTGTAAAGCAGTTTTCAGAAAAATCATATCCATTCCTAGAAAAATGATGAAATTATTAGGATTGTTAAACGCAAGTTTAAACTAGATGATTTAAAGATCTGCTTCATGCTTCAGTTTTTCTGGAGTAATAGCTCTTTTAGAAACAGCACTGAATACATTAAGGTACAGAAAGTATTACTAAAATTTCTCAAATGACTTCAGTAAAAGTGAAAAATCATATGCAGGAGCTGGTTTTGTTTATTTCAAACCCAGTGATTGTTAGTTACAATGTTGAAGTTTAGTTACAATTTTAAAGTTGCTAATCTGGATTTAGGCAACTGATTGCAGATCAACAAAACTAGGTAATTATAATAAAGAAGAGAGATGTTTCGTTAAAAGTGTTTCCCTTGCTATCTCATTCCTAATAATTTCTAACTGACTTTCAGAATTACCTACCTTTATTATGCTTGGTACCAAATGGAGGGTTCATAATAACTGTGTCAAAAGTCTCTACCATGCTATCAGATAAAGAACAGACATCACACTGAACCATGTTGATGTTCGTGAGCTCAAAGTCTTCAATATTGCTATTAAATATTTCCAGTGCATCTGCATCTATGTCAAACCCCACACACAACCTATTTAAAAAAAAAAAAAAAAAAAAAGTGCCACATAGTTGTCTCCTGCAAACTGAAATGGTGTTTAAATTCTGTAGTAAAAGTTTTAATAATGGATCTGTGTACACAACTTGTTTATCCAGGAAATGTAACAAGCATACATCATAAATTCAGTGCTGATAAAAATGCGAGTTAGCTCGGTTGCCCTTTCTCAAATGTCCTTCTGAAGTTTGTGAAGGAAGTTTCATGTGTTCATCTAGTGCTTCAGAGGAAAGCAAACAATATGACTTCCAAATTCATGGCAACTGTCCGTCTCTTCTACTATTTGAACTTGACTGTCTAAACATATTAAAGAGCCTCATTATGCACCAGGTTAGATACCCAAAATTCGTTTACTTCAGCACTGCTACATTGTAATCTTCTTTTCTACTTTTCTATGCTGGAAAAAAATAACAAGCACTTAGTATTACTTACCCTGCTCCTAACATTGCACTTCCAATGCTGAGCATGCCACAACCACATCCTAAATCTGCAATTGTTTTGTTTTCAATATCATCAAAAGTATTGTGAATCGTATAAAGCATACGTGCTGGGGGGAAGAAAAAAAAAAAAAAAAAAAGACACAGGTCAACAATATCAAATATGCGTCTGATTAATCAAGAAAAGCTACTTTTGCCTTCAGAAAACTCTGAACTAAAGGTTTCTTGTTATGCAAAAATTAAGCTGATGTTCTCACTGCCTGTAATTCTATTTTCATTTATACATGAAAAGTCAAAAACATTTTGACGAGACAGAACTCTAGATCTTTGGCGGAGAGATTACACATACAGCTGTGAGTGCTGTTTGTGGAAAAAGTATGCCTCTAAATTTGGGGGAAAACAATAGAAGGATGTAAAAGACTGGCAAACATCATAATTAAGGTATGGATGAGTGTCTGTATATACACTTTTACTGTTTTTTGTGTGTCATGAAAAAAGTCCATTTCAGCTTTCTGATTTACAGATTAAGATGTTTCTATCACAACATTATCTTTTAAATCAATTTACTTGATTTTTGGATTGTACATCAACAATATACTTCTAATGAAAAGAAGTTAATGGATCATTAAAAATAATTAATTGCATTCCTGCTGGATAAAATTTCTCAACTATTTAGTGTGAAGGCTACAAATGAGATAATGCTTTAGAAACACTTTAAAAAAATTTTTAAGTGGTGATGAAGAACTAGTAGAAGAGACAACAGTGCTGTAAGCAAGTTCTACCTGCGATATGAGGTCTTGTTGGATACTGTTCAAGGAGTAGTTTTGGACTTTCAAAAGTATCAACTTGTTGAAGACAGCTTTCTAGTTCTTTAAGCTTTAATTTCTTCATGTTTATAGTTTGACTCGGGAAAAGAATGTGTAATCAGTTACAACAATATAAATAAACTACATATTATCTGAAGTTATTTTGTACTTAAAATCCCGCAGTACTCCTCGGCCTCTCCCCGGTGCTTTCACGCAGCAGTTCTCGGGGAGCAGCAGCCGGCGCACGGCTGAGGGGGGACAAGCGCGGCGGCCCCTTCCCTCCCGCCCGGGCCTCGCCCCGCGGCTCCGTTCCTACCCGCAGGCCTCGCCCGCCGCCGAGAGGCGCCGAGCCCCCGGCCCCGCCACCGAGCACACCGCCCGCTCGCCCAGCAGGTCCCTCTCCGCGGCCGCTGACCCGCACACCCAGCCCCGGCCGCTCCCTGTGCTCACCGCGGCCGGGCCGCCAACCATCCCCCGGCGCCCGGCCGAGCCGCCGCGCCCCGGGCAAGCGGGGGCAACTACACGCGCCCCCTTTTTTTTTTTTTTTTTTTTTTTTTTTTTTTAATTCACAGCTGTTAGCTTTGACCGTCACGTACTACAGACGTGATACGTGTTGTTCCACCCTTACGCGCTATCACTGTTAGGTGCTTGTGAAAGCCCGGGTTGTCCCCCAGCACTTTCTTTGTGGTCAGGAGCGCCATGAGGGGCAGAAGGCAAGAAAGCGGGCTTCTACCTGTCCGGTGGAAAGGACGGCCACTGCGACAAAAGTAACAGATTTACTTACTTTTCTTACGTTTTCCTTCCTATAATCCTGGAGGGAGCCACGCTGCACCGCACGCCCCACACTCCCTGCCCTTACGGAGCTGCAGCACACCTCGCCCGGCGGACAGCCACCGCGGGGGCTTATTGCTGTCAGATAAAAGGTTATTTTCGTTTAGGGATATATTTTTCCTTTGAAGGTATCCCATTACACGGTTGCAAATCTATTTATCGAGCTTTAAAGCTCTCCATCGGCACGCCAGCGACGTAACTCGCCTCCAAATACCTCCTCTCCGGGCGGGAGCCTGCCGGCGCCCCGGGCGGCCCCGCCAGGCTGAACGGCGGTCGGGGCCGCGATGGCTGCCGCGCCCCCCCGCCCCGTCCCGGCCAGAACTTTTAGACCGGCGGCGACATTTTGTGGGGCGGCGGCGCGGTCCGCGCACCCGCGCGCTGCCAGGGCGGGGAGGGCAGAGGAAGAGGAGGGGAAATGTCAGGGGAGGGGAGAGGCAGTGTCGGGAGGAGGGAGCGGGCTGGGCGGCGGGCAGGGCGCCGGTTCTGCGGCTATCGCGAGAGGGAGGCGCCGCTGGGAGGGGAGAGAGGGCGGCGGGGGGAGCCCCAGAGCCGGGAGCCCGGCGCAGCCGTAACGGCTCCTCAGTTTCCCATCATGGCGGGGGCCGGCGCCAGCGGCCGGGATAAGCGGGCGACGGCGGCGCAGTTGAAGAAGGCGCTGGGCGGCGAGAGCGGCGCGGCGGCGGCAGGCGAGCTGCGGGCGCTGCTGGAGCGGGTGCTGGCCCCGGCGGCGGGCCCGGGCGGCGGCGGCGGCGAGGCGGCGGCCGAGGCGCTGGAGTGGTGCCGCTGCCTGCTGTCGGGCGGGGAGGCGTGGGACAGCTTCGTGCAAGCCGTGCGGGCCTACGACCCCGCCACGCTGTGCGGCCTGGTGTGGACGGCCAACTTCGTGGCCTACCGGTGCCGGACGTGCGGGATCTCGCCCTGCATGAGCCTGTGCGCCGAGTGCTTCCACCAGGGCGAGCACGCTGGGCACGACTACAACATGTTCCGGAGCCAGGCGGGGGGCGCCTGCGACTGCGGCGACAGCAACGTCATGCGGGAGGCCGGGTGAGCGCCGGGCGGCCGCGGCGGGGCGGGCGGGCACCTGCCGGCGGGGGCGGCCCCGCGGGCGCGGCGGCCTCCCCGCCGGCGGGCGGAGGTGTGGCCGGAGCGGCTCCGCGCCTGCCCCTGCGCGCCGGCGGAACGCTACGCGGGGCAGCGGAGCCCGGCGGGGTCGCCTTGCGCGCCGTCCCTGCCCGGCCGCGGGTCGGAGTAGGCTGTGGAAAATGTGGCAACGGCGCCTGGGGGGGAGGGAGGGAAGAGGCGGGGGGGTGGGGGGTGGGGGCGGCAGCCCATCCTGCGCGGTCGCCAGCGCCGGCGGGGGTCCGGCGAGGTGCCTGCCTTCTTTGTTGATGTGCGTGTGCCTTTTTTTCTGAGGGCGCTTGTGCACGTCTCGTTGCCCTTGCACCGAGCGCAAGGCCTGCGGAAAGTTGGTGAGGGCGGGCGCACGGGAGGCATTCCCTGTCAGCTCCCGGCCAGGTGCCTCGGCCTAGCACAGCTTAACCGTGAAGTGTGCCCAAGTAGTTTTGGGCTACGCGTGAGCAAATATGCCAAAATGAACAGATTGAGTAAGAGAGCGCCATTTTTTTGTGTGTGTTCCCAGTCTGCAGTCCATCTTGCCTTCTGTTTTTGTTATTCTCAGCTTGATTTAAATCGAGGAATTTGGTAATTCTTGGATGGGTACAACTGGGCAGGGTTTTCGGGGAAGTCAGATGTCCTTCGTATTCTGTAAGCGTGCAGACCTGCTGGAGGCCAGACTTAAGTACCTGGTCAGAAGAAGAGGAAGTGGTACCTCATTATACCCTCCTTTGTTCCCTTTGTACTCAACTGTGAAAGGAAAGATCGGCCAACCAGTTATTGGGTGGAGGTGATACCTAGCCAGTAAACTTCAAATTTCACAACTGGGTGTCTTTTTGGAGCTCCCTGTATTCCTCTTGATTCACCAGAGAGCCAAAGACTTCACCAGAAGACAGTTTGGAGTGCTTGAGTGAGGCTTCTAGAATAGCCTCTGTCTTGATTGTCTTGGCCTTGGTGAGCTGGCATGCTCACATAAGAGCCGTCTCATCTCTTCCTTATAAATACTGAGTTGTGGCATACCTAGCAGAAAACGCTAGGAACATATAGAAATGTTAAAACATTTTCCTTGGTTCCTTCCATGTTTTTAACATTTACAATGTATAATTCTGCATCACTCACTCTGTATCTTAAGATTCCTTCTCTTATGGCATTTTCATTTAGAGATTTCACTAATTCTGCTTTTTTTTGTTGTTGCTTGAAGGTTGATGTCTCCAATTCTCTCTGTCTGTAGTCACCATTCTCCTGGTTTAGGCCTTGGGGTGGCTTCATTCTTTGTTTGTTCTTACATTTTTTTCCCCATCGTTTCACTATCTGCCGTTGTCATTTCTTCATTCTTACTTTTTCATGGAATCTTATTGGTAGATTCCCTCCCTTTTGTTTTCATTGATCTTCAGTGGTTTCAAGGTGCTAGTCCTGAAGTCATTCTTTATCAGGTCTTGTTCAACTTCTGGTGATTCTGCTTCCCTCAGTATCACTGACGTAACAGTTCCCCTTGATCTTGAGAAACAAGAAAAAAATTTAATGTCGATTCTTGCAGTGCTCAGTGTGGGATAGATTTAGGGCTCCTCTTAGTGGTAGGAGTTTAACAGAGCACAGACAAATGGAACACCTTTAGGTAAATATTAAAATGCTTTTTTCTGTTACTGCTCTCATCCTGGAGTTCATACCTTTTCACAAGTGTGGGTTGGTTTGGTTTTTTTTTTGTTTTTTTTTTTCTTTTTTGTATTTTAAACAGTTTTCTTCTTGGAGAAAGCTGGTTTAATAAAGAAGAAATAAAAAATGCTGTTAAATTTGCAATATAAACCAATGCAAACCCTGAGGGAGTAAGAATATTCTCCCCATTCCTGTTATTATTACTTTTAACGGTAGAATTCAAGAGTAAATTGTCTTGTGTGTGAGGTAAGTCCCTTCAGGAAGTTTGATCATTCTAGATAAAGAATTCCATAGTGTCCATTCAGAGACAACACTCTTGGGTTGAGAAGTAGATTTTCCAGTCCTTGTGGACGTACAGGAGGACAATACATGACAGGACATGGGGTGCCTGTGCTCAACATAAGGTCGCTCTTGCTAATCTAAAGAATTGATGTTAGCCAATGCAATTAAGTGAACTACGAACTTTGTTTGCTGTGCAAGACAAAGCAAGTTAAGCTTAAACCAATGTAATAACATTAATGTGTGCAAGCATGCACACAGTTTTGCCCCTTGACTCTAATTGCTTCAATGTAGCACGTCTAGATAAACTGTTTTAACTTTGTATATACAAATCAATTGCACAATTACAAAGGTAATGCTTTACATGTTAAAGTTAGGAGGACTTTGTGGGAGATTCAGGAAACCAGAGTGTGTCTAGCCCGATATAACCTTGGCCACCACAGCCTAGATTTCTATTAATAGCAAGGGAATCAAATGTGGAGCCTACTTATGAACTTTATCTACCATCAGCCTGCTCAGATAAAATTTTGTGTAGATACTGTATGTGAATGTTATAGTAACAGTAGTTTGTTGGTTCTTGTTATCTGGTCTCCATGTTCAGAGTGTTTTGATTTGATGCATCTCAAAGAATACTTCTTAGTTAACTGATCTGTTGTAAAGGAAATCTCTCCAGTTTACCATCTGGAATATCTTCATTTCCTTTAGGGTGGCTAATGTAAATCTAGAGATGGTTTGGTCTTGGATATGAGGATGTGTGTGTTAATTTTTTGTTACTGATTAAATCTATAATTTACTTTTTAGAGATAACTGAGTGTCAATTTTTTTATTTCTGATGGCTTTGTAGAAAGAAGCTGGAATATAACGTAACAGATGGATGCTGATTTCCTGTAGGTACCTTGTGTAATTTACATTTGTTTTAGAAAAATCAGGTTGTCACACTTTTGAACCTTTTGATTCCAATCCAGATTTCAGTGGGTTTGATGATTAAGTTAATTGCAGTTGGTCTGATCTGCCAGAATATAATTTAGAAAATATCTAAGTTTGTAAATATAGCTGCTTGTCAGAGTATTAAAAAACTCTAGGTGCGGCAAGGTTTAATAGATTTTAAGATCCAATGATAGGTCAGTAGGTGAAAGTAGTTTGTAGCTGTTTCCCATACAGAATCGAGCCATGGGCAAATGAAATTTTGCAGCTCCATCAAAGATAATTAATAATGTTTTGAAGAAGGTAAAATCTTCAGTTGGAAAGCATTTATAGTAGATGTGCTCATAGTTCAGCAGGTGAGTTCATCTGTTGGAGGAAAAAAAACCCCATGCGGTTGGAAAGGTGGAAATTCAGACTGGCATATTTTTTGGTTGGTAGATGATCTTGTGTTGTAATGAAACTTGATAGTTTATAAAATAAGCTTTAAGAAAGCAGTATGCCATGTGGTTATAATGAGAGCATAACTAGTCGGTAATCTGTTACTGATGAGTACCATTTTGTTTTTGAGGCCGTCTTGTTCTGATTCCGCTTTAAGTCTGTAGACAATAACCTGATATACTAGAGAGCCTCTACACTTTGGCTATTTCATTCCCCCGTGTCCTGTTTCTGAGTATGCCTCACTGTGTGTTGACTTATTTGTTAAATTAATCATGTGGGAAGCAGATGTTTTAGTGCTGCATTACAGCACAAAGACAATAATATCTCCATCAAAGGTTGCATATCCTGAAAGGCAAAAAGCCAGGTTAAGAATTTTATTAAACAGGCTTTTTGCATTCATGTTTGCTGTGTATTTGATGGTAGTTATGGCAACCAATGGCTCCATTGACATAAAGCACTGCCTTCTCTTATGACTTTTATCAAAGGGTCTAAGAAATTATCCATTTACACTTGTGACAGTGGGCCATTTCTTTATCAATAGGCATGTGTGAAGTAAAAAAAACAATAGTTATAAGAAAAGTAACTGTTGTAGGTTGATGTTGTTTGCCGTGTGTTCAAAAGCACCTTCAGGTACCTAGCTCTAAGCTTTCTGCAGTCCTGCCTTTAATGATCTGTGCTTATCTTTACATTTAGCTCTGTCTTAGAGTGTACTTCAGTGTAGGTTTCATGGAGATTCTATCTGAGCTACACACTAGATCAGACTTCTCTCTCTCTTTTCTCTCTTTTTTTTATTTTTTATTTATTATGTCCCTCTGGGGGACTGATGTATCTGCTGGGTGTACCATGATCCCTTATGAAAAGGCTGAAAAATTAGCTTTGCCTCCTCTTGCTGTCAACAAATATGAGAAGTATAATCTTAGTTTATAGCCTGTTTATTCTCTTCTGCTTTAATTTATTCAGAATTGTTTCTGGTGTGATAGTGCATTAAAACGTTTAC